ATCACTGTCATTTTGTTATGTTCAAGAAATAACTTTCTTGTCATGATCATAGGTGGATGATACAGGTTACAGGTACTTTATTTTAATGAAAACAGTAAATTAAATTGACAAGGAAACTGACTACCCGGCAATAATTGCTTCATATATGCTGTACCGACTTGACTGCAGATACTACAAGTGAACAATGCCTGTGTTTTCCTTTTGTTATGTAAATGTGTTTATTGTTGTGTAGACTATACCAGATATGCATATGTACAGGAAACATACCACCAAACTGACAAAGGTACACACTGTTAACTCACCAAATCCAAGGATTTTTTTTTAAAGAATCAATAAACTGAAATTTTCAGAATTTAAATTTTGTTGCTTATTGACTTGCAGCATTCTGATGGCTTGCTTGTGCCTCAGCAAAATATGTTTTGAAACTCCCCAGCTACTGATTGACCCAAAGGCCTAATTTGTTTATAAGTTTAGACAGCTTGACAATAATAATAATGTGTCCATTTATATAGCGCCAAACTCCACACTAGGTATGCTCATAGCGCTAACAATCAAGGCACAGCACATTATTACCCCGGATAACCCAAGCTGCCTGTTAGGTGCTAGAAGGTTATAGTCATATGACGTTTTCCACTGGGTACCCATTTTCCTGCTGGTTGAACAAACTCACTTGCCTAAGGTGAGACCACATGTGTCACATGTGCTTCGTTCTGGGGCAGGACTCAAGTCCTAGAAACTCTCAGGAGTCAAGCTGCCAAACACGGTCACCCATCCAAGGACTCTCCGAGCTCAACGCTGCTTAACTTCACCGATTTGTGACCTGAGCTTTGACCACAGGACTCTTTAAGTGTCATCACCATGCCCATGCTGAGTCTGCTTGATGTGTCATCACCATGCCCATGCTGAGTCTGCTTGATGTGTCATCACCATGCCCATGCTGAGTCTGCTTGATGCGTCATCACCATGCCCATGCTGAGTCTGCTTGATTTGTCATCACCATGCCCATGCTGAGTCTGCTTGATGTGTCATGGGTGCACTGTGTAGTTTCCTTTAGTAAGTTAGTGTTCAAAGAACGATACCTGGCGTACCTGTCTGTATTCCCACAACCATAACAGCCACAGTAAAATAATTTTGATGTAACAGCAGAAGTTTCAAAGAGGCATAAACTCACTTCAAAATATACCAAGTATGGCATGGTGCTCGAGTGAGTGAGTGTGAGTCACTTCAATTTTACCCTGCACTCGACAATATTCCAGCTATATGGCAGCAGTCTGTAAATAATCGAGACTGGACCAGACAATCCAGTGATCAACAGCATGAGCATTAATCTATGCAATTGAGATACAAGTGAGTGAGTGAGTTTAGTTTTAGTTTTACGCTGCACTCAGCAATATTCCAGCTATATGGCGGCGGTCTGTAAATAATTGAGTCTGGGCCAGACAATCCAGGGATCAACAGCATGAACATCGATCTATGCAGTTGGGATACGATGACATGTGTCAACCCAGTCAGCGAGCCTGACCACCCGATCCCTTTAGTAGCCTCTTACGACAAACATGGATTACTGAAGACCAATTCCAACCCGGACCTTCACGGGTAATTGATATACGATGACGATGACGTGTCAAGAGGCTTGAAGAGGCACACCCTACAAAGAAAGGTTTCTACAAATACAAATTGTCTAGATATCACACAGTTTGTACAATACATGCTTAGACTTTGTGCAGAAAACAGGCATTTAGGGTTTAAGGTTTGATTATTAATTACGACAAACAAACTCAGTATGCATGGTATGTGAAACCAAACTGATTCCATTTTGAGAATTGTCTTCAGCATTTAATTAAACAACTCGGTGTTTGCTAAGGATAAAGTTTTCATAATTCTCAAAGACTGAAATACCCTGGTTGACAATGACAGGGTAACTGACCCATTGGACCTCAATTTCATGATGAACAAGCATAGGCATGCAGTCATGGCAATGATGTGCATAAGGTTATTGACAACCTGTCTTTGAATGCATCATGACTATGCCCTCTCAGCATCAAAGACATAGGTATCAGTACATGCACACTTGAGACCTGGCTGCAAATGTCCTTTGTGTCAGCAGGGCATGGAACACACTCCGGCACAGCGATGACTTAACATAACATCACTGCCACAGGCTAATTTGCATATAACGTGACCAGACTTTTCTCTTGTTTGTAATCAAACGCGCATATTCATAATAAGAGACTGGACTCACGAAAGCTTTTCGGCGCTCTCTTCATAATGTTTTACATTGTTACATATATATTCTTCCACAACTGCGACAATTAGGTCTTTGACAGTACATATTTAGATATCAAACTGGCTGCATCGTTTGCTCTCCGTCGGCTTCGATGACTGCATGTGGAGCCGTACAACCTATGTAAACAAAGGATCGCTACGCAAATCGAAATAGTGTTACATGTTTTTGGATATTTTCTCAGTGAAACTAAACCATTATATTACAGATGTTTAGTTAGATGTGTAGACTCGTCAAAAATAAAACAGTTAAAGTAATCTGTACATTATATTGAATGGACATTGCAAGATGTGACGAATCGTCACATTTTTCTGGCCTGTGGCAGAGGTACTATGCTGGCTTGCCGCATGGAACTCTGGGTAGGAGAGTGGGCATGGGATTGATACCAGATGAGCATCCCAGTGGCATCATGGTGGTCTGCAGCCTCCAGCCACAAGGCAGGAAGACTGGTTCCTCAAGAGCACTGAGACATCAGTTTGTGACCACATGTCAAGAGATGACCAGGCCCTGATTTCTTGAAACAACTTAAGTCTGAGTTTTGACTTAAGTTTGAGTTTTTAATGTCTCAGTGAACATGAAGAACCGGTCCTCCTGCCTTGTGGCATGCCTGTTCATGAAATGGATCCCCAACAGGTTAGTTACCCTGTCATTGTTAAGCAAGATATTTCAGTAGACGATTTGAGTTTGGTGGATATATTACTCAAATTGTTTGGGCTTTTTTATTTTAAAACTTCAGTTGAGTTAAAAATACAGCTGTTTCAAATTGTCAAACTCAGTTTGAAATTTGAGTAAAAACTTAAGTTCGTTTCAAGAAATTGGGGCCAGTAGAGTTAACTTTTCTACTCCGTGCATGATTATTCAGAGTATTTTAACATTTTCCTTCCATTGTTGGTACGGGTCTCTCTCAGTTCATCTCAAATCTAAAATAGACACAATTGTTAACACTGCAAGTAAAATCGCTGGAGTCAGATTTCAATGTTTATCATCAATATATGAGCGGCAAATCGTGAATCAAGCTGTCAAAATCATATCTGACCGTACTCACTACTTAAATTCGGAATACAACCTCCTCCCTTCAGGCCGCCACTACAAAGTTCCAATTGTGAAAACTAAGAGAGCCTGTACATCCTTTATTCCAAGTACCATATCTCTCTCAAACAAATGTGAAGATGTAAATATGTTTGGTATCTCTCTAATGTGTCAGTAGCTCTGCTGATGTAACACAAATTCCTGAAAAGGCATTCAAGTACTATTCTATTCTTCTATTCTATTCTATCTCCATTAGACTGGTCTCTGTTTATGGAACATACTCACACCAAACTGACCTGACATCACTGGCAGGCATCCTTGGATTAGGATGAAGATTATTTTGACAGAACAGTGCCGGGTTTCCTGTACTTTTGACTGATGACTTGAGAGAAGTGTACATGACAGTAGTCCAGACTTCTCAGATCATTGTGCCTTAATGTGGTGTCGACAAGATTTCAGGATGCCAACATAGTCAAACTTGACTGTAATCAAGGGTCAAGTGTTTTGGGATGGGATCAGAAGAGCTCGAAGTACTGCTCATGATAATAGTTGAGCACTACAGGGATGTAATTCTGGGTGTGTATGTGAGACAATATACCAGTGCAATTGACCAGACGCACACACGGTAACACACGACTTCATCTCACTGGGGTTATTGATGCCTACTTTGAGCAGGAGTCCATTGTCTGATTGAAGGGGCCAGCTCAGTCACCAGATGTAAATCCTATCAAAACATGAAAAGAGCTGCAGATCGTCCTCTGATCATGCCTTGTCTTCTACAGGAAATCGGCAATGCTCTTACTGAAGATTGGAACATCCCCATGGCAACCATCCAGACATTTGTTGGGAGCATGAGATAATGGTGTCTGGCTGTGATCACATATCATTGACAACATACATACTGAGAATTGGGTTTTTGTTCACACTGAATGTATTTGAGGCCTTTAGATGTTTTTCTTTGGTCAGCCACTCTGATCATCTTATTATTGGCCATATTTGTTGGCATTGTGTCGCAGATGACAGACTTTTGTTCATTTAACATATCTTCAATCAACATTGTCTTTGTCTGGACATACTCAAACTCAATGCAGCCAAAAACAGTTCACTGTAATTTCTACTCGCATCAGCACTCATACAGTTGGTTAGGAATCCATTCCAATCTTATAGTCCGTTTGACTTCATTTTAGACCGACTAACACAAAATCTAACAAAACCAAATTTTGCAGTCACATGAAATCGACAGACCAACTCTGATGATTTGTCTCATAATTTTGGACACAAGAATATAAAAGTTATTTAACAAACGATCATTATTTTGTTGTCACTAGTCGCTATTTCTTATGAGGGAGGACCACTTGCTGGTAGAACAGCCAGGTGTGCGAGTTGTACGTGTTGTATGAGTGAAATTTCAATTTCACTGCACACGCTTGTTGATTACCTGGCTGTTCCATGGCCTAAAGACCCATCTGTTCCTCAAATACTGACAATTGGTTAACTTTTTAGTTGTATGTGCTTAGAGCATCACCAAGGGCGAGAACTTAACATACAAGTGGCCTTATTATTATGTGGCTATTTCAAAAGATGCTCATGATTTGATGTATTACCTTATGAAATGGTGATCCTAAGCAGACCTAGAGTATCATAGGATTTGTTAAAAGCCTGTGAATATGCAACAGATACGCTTGGGTAAAATAAGGAACTTTATTCACAAATGATATCAAATATAAATAAGATAACATTCAATTACATTAGAAAATCATCTAAATGACACAGTATTGCTTACAATGATTGCAACTTGCACCATTCTCTTTTCTGTAAGCCTGTGTACAGCATTAACAATTTCAATGTAAATTCTCAAATAATAGTTCTCAGCCCTCTACCATCCAGTGCCCATGGTTTCTGATATCTGTGTTGATATAAAATTTCAAAAGTGATATTCAAACAAACTTCGAATGCACAGGGGAAAAACTGGAAACATAATCGAGCTGAACATGTCTGAGGGACCCTCCACCAAGAACTACCTCACATGCTTTCCACTTACTCCACACTGAATGAATTCCATGTTGAAGTGAGTTGTTAGACCCATTTTGTTTTACTTTATTATTTTTAAGTGCCAGACCATTGAGCCTGGATTGTTGTGGGAGTGTCACACATTCTAACACACAACAAAAAGGCATTCATATAGATGCCAACATTTTAGAAAATGAAAGTGAATAATGAATTTTCTATTTTCAAAATTTAATACTTATATGTATAATCAGCAAAGGATTACTGAAAGAATGTCAAACAAACATTGTTGGAAAAGTGCATAAGTTCAATTCAATGTATCATAGTTCTGGCTGGTAATCATTCTCTAACAAGAAAATAATATATTGGGCTCTTGGTAATTTCAAAAGGATTTATATAAGCAATTAGCCACATCAAACCATGCAATTTATCAAATATATTCACATAAAGATGAGAAATGAAAACATATTTGGTGCATGTTAATAAACTGTAATGATCATGAAAAAGATATATGGTTAATTCATATCTGTTCACTCGCTAATGTTAAAGCTTCTCAAATTGGTTCTACATGAAGGACTATGGTTGAGTTTTGTCAACATTCACAACACAAATATCTTTGTAAAGAATTTTCAACAAACTAGAAGCCTTTGAGCTTTCATTTCTCTAAAATAACATCACTTTCTTCCGACCTGAACACTGTGCCCAAAATATGTTGATTTTGAAAAGTAAATTTTGTTTCTCCAAAAACCTTTTGTCCTGACATGAGGAATCCACAACAAACACTGAGATAATGTAGTTGTCAGGCACTGAAGAGTAGGGTGAATAGTCATTTCAAAATACCCGAAGAAACTGAAATGATGGCAAATTATCTGTGAGAAAATGTATGTATATATGTTATTTTGCCTCCGGGCTGCCTAGAAGATAGTTGCACTTTGTTATGTACTCAACAATCTCACAATTTCAATAAGGAGATTTCCGCAGTAGACATGTCATACTGACAATTTTAACAACCAGAATACAGATTAAACTTTGAATCGGAAGGTCACAAAGTATGAACTTCAGAGATAGTAGCTGCACATCTAACTCGGTGCAATCTCTATTGAAGAGAAAGTCAGATGATTGAGTACATATTCAGCACCACATTTGTCAACACACAATTATTACAAAGGGAATATGGGGATGAAAAGCTTTCGACCACTATTTCTTCATACAATGTTTTCCTTAAGCAACTGTTTCAACAATCAAGAATAAACAAACGAACCCAAACAAGCTTAAGTAGGTTTTGCCAATGTCAAAAAATGCAACGTCACACATTCATCTATCACCCTACACAGAGAAAAAATGTACTGCATTGAAAAGTGATGTTGAAAAATACTAAATTTTAATTCATATTAAGGCAAAACAGATATTTTTACACTGGAAGACAATTGGTAATATTCAAAACAAATATGATAAACAACCTTGACATAATTTCTTCCATATTACGACAAACTTGTGACCAAATAATTTCTAAGTGATGACAGTGACAAATTTAAGACTTCATGACAGGTTTCCGTGAGTGAACAGAAAGGTAATACACCATAAGTGACCCATACACCATTATAAAATATTTTACTCTCATTTCCTAGATATTTATAACTAATGATGAAGATGTTAGCACTGATTGTATTACACACATTTTCGATTTATCCTTTAAAGACAAAAATGACAATTAAAATACCCATGGATTTTCCAAATATAAATTTCAGTAGGTTTATTGTGATATGCAAACAGTAATTGAGCATGTTTGAATGCTACCATTCTCAAAAAATATCTTGGCAAATTCCAAAACATGTTAATTCAAAAACACTAACATTTTTACATTTCATTGTTTCATTTACAAACAATTATCTCACAAACTGAACAATAAACAACAACCCTGTTTTGATAATTATTGTAACTAAACATATTTAACAATACATTCAAATACTGTAAGAGATTTCTTCAGAGACACCCAACACAAACTTTCTTTGAGGCCTCTACCATGTCTACGAATGCCGGAAGGTAATTCCGTGACATTCATGTGGTCAGCGGAAACAAAATGCCTTTGAACACACTTAGTAATGTAATAACAAACAATCAAATAATGTGCTGGCATAGCCATGATGAATTATGTGAACTAGCATAACTGTTTAACAACAACATAAATTATGAAATTCATTCATAGCTAAATGATCAGATTCCAAACATCTCCACACTCTCATTGTACTGCATTTATTTATAACAAACCAGACACACTTACATAAACAGAATGCATATACATGCCATGTCAAAAACTGACCCAGAACCAGCAAAACCTAGTATATATTGTGCATCAGTGTCATGTAGATCAGGCCATTTAGAATAACATCAAAATCATCTTGTTTGAGAAGTACCCTTATGAACATAAACAGGGGGCGACTACTTTTGCTATTTCTACGGAATTTCTCTCCAGCAAGGTGTCTGTTCACAAAATTACTAAGTTATAAAGAAATGAAGTACATATTGCTGGCATGGAGTTGACAAAATATTGTATAATTTTCTTAGTTTGCATAAAGCGTAACTTCATGACACGCAAATAGTATGTGTGCAAATTATGCAGTGACTTCGTTAATGGCAATTTCTGCAATTAACGACATACAAGTAAAACTCTTACCTGAGTTTATGTAATCATGGTATGGTAACTATAATCATTCAAATTCTACAAACTGAAAAAAATGTCCATTAACATGTTGCAACATATGATATGCAATATATTGTACACAGGCCAAACCCTGAAACTGACAAATAGAATCATGCAACCGCTAGTTTTTCTGCTTCAACAAATGCAAGAATTAACATAACAGGAAATAACATAATACACTTTTCTCTCCATCCTTCCAAAGGCTTAAACCTAAGAAAACATTAAGTGAAGAATATATAATGTTTCTGTAATGCATCTGAGTGAAGCTTTCTAGATGCCAGATCTCATTGTCCAACTTCAGGTTTTAACCTTATCAAACTACACAAGCCTTCAGAGCTAAACAATTCATTAGAACTCACTAAACAAACCTTGCCCATAATCTAAAAATAAAGAGAACAGATCCTCTTTCAAGAGAGTTAAAACGACCTTTCTTTGAAAATATAACTGTCAAGGATCGTGGTACTGGCTCTTTTCAACAAAAGGAGTGTTTTCTGAAATGCCTCATTAATCAAGCCACATGTGATGCAATTTTTCTGATACAAAATCTAAAATATATTTTAATGAGGCTTCAGGTAAATTCAACATATTAAAAGGACATTCTGCCCAAGTGGTTAAAACTTAGATCCATTAGCAGTTACATGAGTAAAGAATAGACTGTACATACATACAATCAATCGTTTTAGTCGCTGCCTGCATCATTCACCTCGCCATCAGCTTCGTTCTCATTTCTACTGTCCTCATTATCACCACGATTACTCCTTGCAAGCTCCACCTTAATTTGACGCCCTCCAAGGTCAAGGTCTTTCAGAGCTTGAATGGCTTCTTCTGCTATGTCGATGTTAGAAAACTGAAGGAAAGCATGACCACTGCCACCATGCCATACAACCCGCAGAGGTTGAACACTACGGTCATGTATCTTCTCCTTAAACTCGCTCACACGCAGTGACCGAGGTAACCCACCTACATAGATAGATGGATCATGTGATCTTCGATTAACACGACCTCTACGTGCTGAATTACGAGGACGCCTTCCCTGACCCTGGCCCTGACCTTGACCTTCTCCTTCCTCTGTTTGCTCTTCTGATTCAGAATTCCTGACGTCATTGCTCCTGCGCCTTGGGCGTCTGTAATTGTTGCGGTAACGTCGTCTGGGTGGGCCACGGCGACGGTAGGAGTTCTCATCATTTTCACGTTTTTCTTCTTCTGGTTCGTCATTGATATAGTCTTCACCATCATCTTCTTCCTGACCCTGCACACAAACATCAACCTTTCAATAAGGAGGGAGTGGAGAAGACTGAAGGACTGAACAGACAACTTTTAGCTACATCTTTCTGTTTGCTAAAAGTAATTTAATTTGGTAGTAATTTGGATACCTCATTCCAGCATGTATAATGTTTGTGTTTTAACTTTTATAGCATTATACAACTAATAGTTACAAAATTCTACTTATATCACTTATGCATGTTTCAGCAATCAACCTCTACAAAATTATAGATACATTGAGATGCTGGATACAAAAATTCTTTTGTTTAATGCCACACTCAATAATATTCCAACAAAATTATGGCTTCCTGTTATATTTAAAGCCTACTTACATTACAACTGTGAGAGATTATTGTTTCCTACACATTCTATGGGATTCAGCATTAGAAAAAAAGCATTGTTAATCCGAAATTCTATACTTTGAATGAATTCTGTTTTATGCCACTGTCGGCCATAATCCAGTTACATCACAGCAGCCTGTAAATAACTAGGTCCAACAGAGACAAACCAGAGACTCATAGATTGGGATATAATTCATGCCAGCATGGTACAGTTACACACAGTCAACTCCATGAAAACAAGAAGACAAAGTCATCAATATCCCCTGCAACGGCAAAATACTCTTTATGAATATGTCTACTAGTTATGATTATGTCAAATGTTTTGGAGTGTAAACAGCAAAATGGAAGGAGAGTAGTGAAAGGTTTTTAAGATCTGCTCCAGAAAGGAGCATTACCACCAAATTCAGTTGAAGCCTAACGTGTTGCCATGGAAATGCAAATTATAAAATTCATATCTGAGGCTAACGCAAAAGGCACATCTAGGGATCATGCTTGACATATGTACCAAGTTTGATGAAGCTAGCATGTATAGTTTGGGAGATCTGCTCCGGACAAGATGACATCCTCATAGTGACAGCCTAAGTTTGGTTAAGCTATCTAGAATAGTTTAGAAGATATGCTTCGAACAAAGTGTGACGAACGTACGGACGAACGCACGGAAGGAACCCGTTTCTTCATCGGGGGATAATAAAAGAATTAAGGAACAAGGAAATTATTTATAGTAACAATAAAAATTTCACTACCTTCAGCCTAACATCTGTGCCCTGTTCACGCTCCCTCTTTCTCAGAAGTTTCAAAACGGGAACTCGATTCAACTTGTCACGGTCAAGTTTGGACCATATGATGCCAGCTGGCTTTGGTTTGGTGCAGTCTGTCTTAATGATCTCTGTTGGTGTGACAATGTAGTCAACTGTCAGATCATGCTCTTCCACAAGGCGCTCAGGTATGCTGATAACTTGGTGGTCATGAACTGTGGTCACTACGACTGTATTCTCATTCACAGCGCCCATCGTTTTCATCATTGCAAACTCCAAGTCAGCAAACCCTTCTCCTTTTCCAATACGGTAACCTGGTAACAAGAATATCAGTGAGACACATTTTTTAACACAACTGAAAGCTTGATTCCATTTAGTCTTCATTCACTAATACAAAGGTGATTTCAATATTTCAGGCAAGCAGAACGAACATGCCTTCAGTCAAATTGTAGTTGATGTCAATATCACATGTTATTCTCAGTGTAACATACAATTGCATCCTCCACCCTCAAAATACAATTTGAATCTGTAGGCAACAGATCCTGCATTTTTTGTTTACAGCTGTGCTATTTGTGACCTGCACGCATTAGGCTGGATCAAGACATTTGATTCACTAGGCAACTAACAATGGACATCCACCAAATGTCATTAGTGACCCCCCAAATCTCACCTTCCCTGGACACTCCCACAGAGCCAATGATGACCAGGTCGATTTTTACAGCATCATCAAGTCCAATTGGTGTGCTGTATTCACGAACCCCCTACAACAGAAAATCATGTACAGTGTGATCACTGTTCATTTCAGAAGAACAGAACATGCCAACAGTATTTTGTTCTACATCAATTCCCTATCGCAATTTTCTTAAGGTAATGGAACACATTTATTAACATTACAACAGAGGCAAGACAAGGAACAAAAGGATATGGTTTAAACAGAAAACACTTATATGCTCGGAATCTTTAGATTTCAAATTTACATGACAATGAGTAAATGTCAGTTCATGGAACTAGCAGTGTACTTTATTTTTGAGAATTTTTCTCATCTTTCATTTTCTTTTCAGATATATCAGAAGTGGCATAGGCACCAGATATCACAAGGCCCTTGATTTGTTTATGACTGCGAACCTGTGAGGTAGAGCATGTTCTCAGGGTCTCCTTGTTGCAGTCAGCTGGAGGAGTAATCTTGTTGAACAGTCCTTCTCTAAGCCTTGGGGTAGGCACAAGCAGTGTCTTCTGTGACTAAAACACACATCAGTTGTCATGGTCAAATGAGAGTAAGGGTTGCAGGGTGGAGAATGGATTATAAGTCAGTGTGTGGGTTGTAGGATGAGCGATTGAGGAGTTGACTGTAGGGCAGTTGAGTGGGAATGTGGGTTGCAGGGTATGTGAATGAGAGTGAGTGAGTGAGTTTAGTTTTAAGCCGCACTCAGCAATATTCCAGCTATATGGCGGCGGTCTGTAAATAATCGAGTCTGGACCAGACAATCCAGGGATCAACAGCATGAGCATCGATCTGCGCAATTGGGAACCGATGACATTTGTCAACCAAGTCAGCGAAACTGACCACCCGATCCCGTTAGTCGCCTCTTACGACAAGATAGTCGCCTTGTTATGGCAAGCACATGGGTTGCTGAAGACCTATTCTACCCCGGATCTTCACGGGTCATGTGAATGAGAGAATGGCAGTTGTTGGGAGAGTGTAGAACTTAAGAAATGAGCATTGATCGTAGGGGAGTTGAGTATGTGAATGCAATGTTGGGTTAGTGTATGGCAGTCGGGTTTGTCGGATGAGAGTGGAGGAATGACAGTGGAAGGTACTGGTTGTAGGTGTATATGTGAGAGGGTTGATTGTGGGGCAATTGTTTGTCCCACACTTGGCACTATTCCTGAAATATGATGGAGGTCTGTAACAATAATCAACACCACTGAGGTACAAGGAAAAGCTATCAACCAAGTAATCAAGCCTTACCCCCTGATCGATCTGGTACAAGTATGTGGTAGTTCAACTTATGTAAACATCAGCAAGCAGGTTTTTTAAAATGAAGTGGAAAGAATACTCCACTACAAACACTGCAACTTGCTCTGAAGTGTTAAGTATTACCACCAACTGATGTCTAATAATGTAAAGGTGAATAGCAGCCAATTACATCACCTGGACCTTCTATCTAAAGCAAGACTGGTTTGTTGTTTAACGTAGGACTCTTAGCAATATTCCAGCTATATGGTGCCGGTCTGTGAATATACAAGTCTGGACCAGACAATCCAGTCATCAACAGCATGAGCATCGATCTACACAATTGGGATATAATGATATGCGTCAACCAAGTCAGCAGGCCTGACCACTCGATCCCGTTAGTCACCTTTTATGACAAGCATGGGTTGCTGAAGACTTAATTCAAACCCGCGATCTTCACGGGTCCCTAAAGTAAGATCATCCTCCACATGTGCAATGATGTATGCTAAAATTCAATCCTTGCAGAATTCATTTACCTTCTGATTTCAGACATTTAGATTTCACACAAACATTTTTTATAAATTAGTGGTTTATTGCACACAGACATGTTACCTATAGTTGGGTGTAACTGTGTAACTATGTTGTTATATTCATCCAACTCCACTCGCTGTTGTAGAGCTTTCAGGAAAGAGTAGAAGTGTGAATTAGGATCTGTCTCTGGTATACAATGCTTGGGCAATGAGCAATGTCACATGGTACATTACCTCCAGTGTGAAGAACCTAGCATCCTGTTGAGGCTTGTCAGGGTTGACCTTCACAACCTTGGCCACCTGGAACTCTTCAAGTTCTTTCACCTTCTCAGCAGCATTCACTGCTCCCTACAAAACAAACACACAAATACCATACCCGAGTTATTTTGTAATTTGTCATTCTGATTTAGAGATTAGCGATAGAGTTTTATTTTCTCTTACACAACGGAGGTGTCACAGGCACATATTAAGGTACCGGTAGGTCTCGGTTTATGGAAATAAGAGTGCCGGGGATAAATAAAAGCGGATGATTCAAATGAAGGAAACTGTAATGTGTAGCATCAAAAACCTAAAGATTCATTGGGTTTCTCAATTTAAATACAGTACACAGCAACACACCAAAGCTTCAATACCAACCATTAAGGATTCCCATTAAATTTACACAGTAATGGATAAACAAATTTCTGATGAAGTGGAGCCGTGTAATAGATTTTCTGAAACCAGTTACCTTGAAGTTTGGTATTCTGTGGTGCACTGGACGTGGAAAGTTAGCCAGGTTGTGATCCTCAATAAAGTCCCACACCTGTTTCCTAATGCTCCATTTAGTCACCTCTGCAACAAGATGGAAACATGCTACACAGCCCTGCCTGTGTGAGTAAAGCCACAAAACAAACTCATGCATTTTGGGGGGAAATCTTAAATGACCCAAGTCTAAATAAACTGTTAAAACATGTTTGGGTATTTGTAAATTCTAAAAACCTTCAGAGGCATGCATTAACAGTACGTGACTATGAGTGAGGGAGTGAGGGAGTAAGGGAGTTTATGACTATGAACTTATAGTAGCTAGCAGTGAACTTATAGTAGCTGACTGATCATAAAAGTCTGAAAACCACTTTTGGTCTACGACTGTAATATTTCAATTTAGTATATACAGAGGTATGCTGACATTTTATTAGGTTAAAACATGTTACTTTGTTACAGTTTCTGAAGGCTAATGTGACAATATTCAGAGGTAAAAAAATAAATAACAAAATTAATGAGATAGCTGTAATACAAATGCAAGAAAATCATTAACATAATTCATTTGATTTTGGAAGAATTATTTATTACAAATTCATCATATTCAATCATTTCAAAGCGACTTAGCTAAAATATGTTACAAGAATTACTTAATTATCCTCACAGTTTTGTTACTTTACTGTTTGTTGCAAGACAAACATCAGAGATGGAACTTAATTATCCTCACAGTTTTGTTACTTTACTGTTTGTTGCAAGACAAACATCAGAGATGGAACTTAATTATCCTCACAGTTTTGTTACTTTACTGTTTGTTGCAAGACAAACATCAGAGATGGAACTGCAACCATGTGTAAAGTTATAAAAGTTTGAAATTTGTGAAACTGCTGGAAAAATAAAAACTTTCAATGCTTATCATTTGGTAACAAAAGGGATCAGGGTTAACACCACATTTGTTATCTGTGAGCAACCAATACAAGTGAGGCCAGAGTTTTACATTTCTCAAAACAATCTACCGCTGAAGATACCAAATGTGAAACTTTTGAAATCTGCATCAAAAGGTAATAATACTTTTAATGTAATGACAGGCAATCGAATCATTCCTGTTACGTTTTTTTCTGTATTTACCCAAACGGATAATGTATTTGAAAAGCGTTACGCAAGATCCTCGGTAATCAGTAGTTTGAAGAAATGAAACTGAGGCCAATGCAATATGTCAGACTACAAACTACAATAGTACATCCTACACATGCACCCCTGTATAAACCAAGGATTTCTTCACTTTCATGTATCAACCAGACTTAGCATGCACCATTGTTGACTACAGGTCAGTTTGAGAAATCCATGTGCAAAACATAAGAATGTATCAATAACATATCTGTAAATCAGTGATCGTGTGTTTACATATACTTGGACATGTTGAAGACCAATAGACATACATGATTCTATCCAAGAATTTTGCTTAAAATCCTTCAACATACTGAATAAAATTTCCCATTACAATAGTAACATCTTTGGCTTCCTGAAACGTTTACCTAGCAAGGGTTTCCAAATTAATATCAATGATAATTGTTACATATGCTAAGGACAGTATATATAAAGCCTATACATATGTATGAAAATGATCTGATACAGCCTAAGCATGCTAGTCTTAGCATGTTGTTAATACAATGAGATTCAACATTGTTGCTATGACAGAGTATATTACATTAACTGCAAAGCTTTAAAGGTCTCAATCAGCTAAACTGAATGTGGTAAAGTGAAAGTGAAGTGTTCCGCCTGATCCTGACATTACTGAAGGATTGAGTTCTAACTGTAAGTGCAGAAAAGGGACATGTAATGGACAGGCGAAGTCAATATGACTGATACAACCACACAGACAAGACTTTACTGAAGTATTTTTACCTGTAGTCTCTACAAAATGTAATTTTTCAAGTACAATTGATATTTTTATACTTATCCTGACTCATGATCTTTTGCTTATCTCCCTTTCCTTTTCGAATGGTAGTGGAACACTTGAATCCCTTGAAGTTCCTGAAGCGGACGTAAAAATACACTCACCCATGAGTTACCTCCCTTTTACCCGTTTCCCGCGCAAAGTCAAAATTTAAAAACAAATTCTTATCCTGACTCTTGATCTTTGCTTATAGAATCCGACGGGATTGGTGGTGGGTCAAGCCACTTCGTGGATTCATTAGCTGTCCTTAGATACGTCCTGTATCCCCCCCCATGGGAACTGAGAAATGGCATTTCCGTGATCCTATCCTTCCAACTTCCGTTATAACTTGGGGGGGACCACTTTCTTGTCTTACTTCAGTCTCCGACAAGTTGAATCATGTTGATTCATGTGGCTACAGATAAATTAGTATCTTCTTATTACTAGACATCTCATAACAACCCATAGATTATGATCTTTATCATAAATGAGTTGCGACCCCTTCACGTACAGGTAAGATCTTTACCCGTACAGGATCTTTAATCACTCATGCTAGCCTGTCCTAGACTGTGCGCATGGACTTTCAAACTAATACTTTTTCCTTAGTAAAAGTTATAAATAAGTCAACGTGATAAACGGTGAGATTTTCCAACTCAGCAGCGCCTTTGAGGAACCGTTAGTTGCTGTGCTACAACGGGAGGCCCACATTGGTGAATGCCTGAGACGTCTTCAGTGGCTATGTCTCGGAGGTAGTGGTTGGCAAACACTGTGTCCGACTTCCAAAAGCAGCCCTTCATAATTGCTGGTATAGAGCAATTTCCGTGCAGAGCCAGTGTTGACGCCAGTGCCCTGACTTCGTGTTGGTTGGAAGCTCTAGGAGGTTCTAGTCCTGCTGCTTTATAGGCTCTCAATATGACGGCTCTCATCCAGAACGATATGGTCGTTCTTGAGACTTCTGCTGATGTCTCTGTTGATAATGCGATGAACAGGCGCTTGAATTTTTGCCTCCTTGTCTCAGTCCTTTGAAGATATATCTTCATGGCTCTGACCGGACACAAGGATAGGTCTTCTATATCCTCTGGTCCAAGGATTGTAGATAGCGCTGGTACGTGGAACTGTCTATCTGGCTGACCAGGTAGTTGGTTCTTGGCAATGAAGTCCCATCTAAGTCCTAGATGAACTGCAGCATGTTGCCCCCTGTCAAATCTGGGTCGACCAAAGTCCAGCGCATGTATCTCTGATATTCAAGCTGCCGTGGCTAGCGCAAGCAGGAACAGAGTCTTCTGTGACAGCAGCTCGAGGGTAGTCTGGTCTAGAGGTTCGTAGGTATCACTCGTAAGATGACGTAGAATTACATTCAGATCCCAGGCCGGAGCTCTGCACTTCTTTTGCTGGTCCTCCAGTTTAAAAGATCTCAGCAGAGCAAGTAATTCTGGTACTTTCGTCAACTTGATGCCTGTTTTCATGGTAATCACTGTACTGATGGCGGCGAGGTATGTAGATAATGTCGAACCTTTCAGATGTCTGGTCTGTCTAAGATGACAGATATTCCGCCACTGGAGGATGAGTAGCTTTCATCGCAGTGAAGCCTTTCTGCCTTGCATAAGTCTCAAACTTCAGCCATTTGTCATCATACAGGTTACGAGTAGATCTGCGCAACGCTAGCGTTACTGCCTTGGCTGACCTGGCGGAGTATCCTCTTTTCTTCAAACATGTTTTGATACGGTCCAAACGTGTAGCTGTAACACTGTCGGGTTCCCGTGGACTTGCTTGGTGTGCGGATGTATGAGTAGGTTCAGCCAATCTGGTAACTTGATTGCTGGACTTCCGAGATCTTCTATTAGGTATAGGAACCATACTCTCGCTGGCCAGTATGGCGCGACCAAAGTCAGTTGTAGCGCCTGTGTCTGTTTGATCTTCAACAGTACTTCTGGAAGTAATATGGAGGTGGAAACGCGTAAGCGTTTAGTCCTTCCCAAGATATGATCAGTGCATCTGTTGCCCAGGCTTGAGGATCTGGAACTGGTGAGACAAACGTCTGTAGTTGTTTGTTGAACCTCGTGGCAAACAGGTCTATACAAGGGTATCCTATTTCCCTTATGATGAGCCGGAACGTTTCTGGATGGAGCATCCATTCCGTAGGTGATGGGTGCAGTGGTCGGGAGAGAGCGTCTGCGAGTACGTTCTTGGCTCCCGGGTATGTGACACGCCTTTGTCCAGATGTTTGCTTCCTCCGTGATGTGGAACAACTGGAATGTGAGCTGTAGCAGGCTTGGAGACCTTGTGGATCCTTGCCGATTTATGGAGAATGCCACTGTAGAGTTGTCCGTGTGGACCATCAGCATTCTGTTGTTCAGCGAGCTCGACCATAGTTGTAAGGCGTTGATCACGGCTTTCATCTCCAGCAGATTGATGTGAAGATGCTGTTCTATTTTGGACCACCTTCATGATACAACTTGATTGTTGAGATGCGCACCCCAGCCCTGCATCGAAGCGTCTACGTAGAGATGTGTGTCGAAGGCCGGCTCTTGTAAATAGGTCCCTCCGCAAACATTCGACCTATGCTTCCACCACAGTAGATACCTCTTGAGGTTGTCTGGCAGCAAGATAGGGTCGACGCTGTCTAGATGTTTTGTCAGGAACCGTTGCAGCGGTCTTAGTTGTAACCTTCCTGTGCGAGTCAAGTCCTGCGCCGAAGTTAGTAGACCCGAGTAGAACTTGCCATGATCGTAGTGTTAACGGAGAGATGACTGCTGGTGGAATCATGGCTTGTATCTTGACCCAACGATCTTCTGGGACGACAATACGATTCTGTGTTATGATAAACCTTATCCCCAGAAATTGCAGATCTTGTTATGGTTCCAACTTCATAAGGTTCACCAGCCATCCTAGTTGAGTGAGCAACTTGATCATGAAGTTCATCTTGGTGAACCTGAATTCCGTCATCCGAGTAGAACGCATTGCCTAGACCTCGATGATGTAGATATGCGACTATAGGCTTGGTTACTCGTGTGAATAGTCACGGAAGCCGAAGATATTCCAAACGGTAGGACGTTCCACTGGAAGTGCTGCCCTCTGAATAGGAATCGTAGATACTTTCTTGATTCCGGATGTATGGGGATGTGTAGATACGCATCCTGCAGGTCTATGCTGGCCATGTAATCTGCTGGACAGATGAGTAGTTTGAGTTGAGGTAGGTGGATCATTCTGAACCTCTCCGGTTTCAGTAGATAGTCTTTGTTGAATTTGCGCATGTTGTCAATCAGTCTGAACTTCTCCTTGGAGTTCTTCTTGGGTACTAGAAATATTGGAGAATAGAAGACTGGAGTGAGATGATGCTGATCTATTATCTCTACCGCCTCCTTCATAAGTAGTGAGTCGATGGCTTCTTGTAGTTTGTCTCCCTGTTCCTCTGCATAGTCGAAGACCATTGGGCTGAGGGTTAGCGGAGGTGTGGCCTTGAGTTGTACTCTGTATCCTTCTCTTAGTACTTGGGAGACGTAGTCGTCCTCAAGTATTTCCCAATTTTTCCAGTACCTTTGTAGACGTCCACCCACTGTAGATAGTTTTACAGGAACGGCTGGGGGTGGAAGACTCCAGTCGTTCCGAACCTTGATATCAACGTTTAGTTCCTCTGGATCCTCTGGGAGTGAGGCCTCTCCCTGAGTTTCCTCTGTAATTTCCGGATGGGCGATGAAAAGATCCTTTGCCGCCTCTGAAGCTGGGGTACTTCTGAAGCTGCCTTCTGTATGCCGGAATATTTGGACTTGCTGTTATACTTTTGCGAAGTATGCCGGATGACGTTGGCCAGAGTATCTATGGCTTTTATAATCATAACTTCTCTAGAGTCGTGCGTAGTTTCCTTAGCTGCATCCTCTATTTGTAATCCAAAGATAGTAGGCGCCTCCCATTGAGCTCAGTAGCGGTTGGGTGAATCTATCACTCCATGAACAGGATGCAAGTAGCCCTTGTCTGCGTAGTAAAGTGAGACCTGCAGATATAGATGCCAGATGGTCCGATAAAAAGTATTGGTCCTTCTGTGTTATGAGGGCCGAATATATCATTCAATCCTCTTCCGAACTCGAGTTCTGGAATTTATTGATCAATGCTTCATTGATGGCTCTGGACCTGGCCAACCCGAAGAAGGATCTCCTTGTAGCAGTATAAGGGTTGATATAACTTTTTATCTTCCACTTTATACATCTTGTTTCGGGAGTCGTTGACTAACTTTATGTTATCATCCCATTCAGGCGCCTTTGTAAATGGATCCATATGATGTAAGGGGAATCTCTTCACATTAAATGATGGTAGATGCTGATTCTGGTACTTGAATGCTTTCGCGAAAGCTGTGCGTAGGTTAGAGGGTACCTTGGATAAAGGTTCAATCAGAGGGATAGTGACGGAGTCGAAGTCGTCGTTACGCATCATATAGGTGTAGACTTCATCTTTATCCTTATCCAAGTTCAACCCGTTGGCAATCCACGCTGTAAACTCTGAGTCTGGGAAGACGAAGTCTGCTTGCTGATCCAAAGTCTCCTGAATATTAGTGCTAGGCCTCTGCGACTCATCCATCTGTGAACCTGTATCCCTTTTCGAACCTTCATCCTTTCGCGAACCTCTATCTGAAGATTCCTCCCTATGCAAACGTCTATCTTGAGAGTGCTCTCTTCGCGAACCTCTATCTGTAGATTCATCTCTTCGCAAACCTCTGTGATGTGAGCTATCCCTTACGCTAGATGTATCCCTTCGCGAACTTCTGTGATGTGAGCCTTCTCTTCGCGGACCTCTGTCTTGTGTTGAGTGACTTCGCGAACGTCTGTGAGAGATATGAGATCTCGATCTAGAGCGGCTAGGTGTAGGAGATGGATCTTTCAATGTTCTCGAACGTTGAGGGATTGCGGATGTAGAACTGTGAGTAGGCATCTCATCTCTTCTAACCTCTTCCAAGATGACAGAGTCGTCCGACTGTGGAGACCTTCGCAAAGGTGTACGTTCGCCAACGTAATCTTGAGACGTAGTTCTATGAGGAGTAGGTTCGCGCAGGTCCATAGGTTTGCGGACGGTGTTGGTAGATGAGAGGCTTCGCCGAGCCTTCGCTTCTTCCTCGAACCTACGTTCCATCATGGCCATCATCTGCTTGGTGACTTCTCATAAATTCACCCGGGTCAAAGTTCTGCGTTGGTTGAAGCTGCTGCGGTGTAGACGAAGCGTTCGTGAACGCTGATGAGTTCTGCGCCTCAACTTCACTCCGTTGAGAAGTAGGTGGTAGTTCGTCTAACAGCTGGCCTGCCGTGTCCGTTGCAGGGGACGATCTAGTAGAAGTAACGGGGATCATCAAAAACGTCTACTTCATGTGGAGGTAATATCTCTTCGTTGAAGGATTTCTGCTGCGTTGACTTACTAGCACGCGTAGATTTACCTTCCGATCTGGTAACAGATGCTTTCTTCTGCGATGTAGAAGAAGAGGACATCTTTTTCTTAGCCTGAGACGGAGTCAACTGAGTTGTAGTCGATCTCTTCTTGGCCCCCTTACCAGCAGACTGCCCCTGCCACTCACTAAACATAGCACCAGTATTATGAACTTCAGCAGTAGCAAGCAACATACGGTTTGCAGGCTGATCTCCTGTTTTATCAGCCGTGACTTGAGATGACTTCCTCACCCGATCCATGGCACATCTATAAATATAAGACAAATATTTATTAAATTGAAAATTTGATAAATCAACACAATAAGTACAGCGCAAGCTGGAAGAACATGGTTTTATGCACGATGGGCACTGGATAACCTGTGCCTGCAAACACTGCAGAGTGAAAAGTAAGGCTGGTCACATGACTGTTTGCGCGGGAAAAGGGCAAAAGGGAGGTAACTCGTGGGTGAGTGTATTTTTATGTCTGTTTCGGGAACTTCAAGGGATTCAAGTGTTCCACTACCATTCGAAAAGGAAAGGGAGATAAGCAAAAGATCATTAGTCAGGATAAGACAAAATTAGACATTTGTTTGTCATTCCTTGTGTGCCAAATTCAATTGTTCTTAGTATGCCATCTATGTCACTTATTTCTCAAATAAATGTGGCAAAAATATTCTGGAAAACTAAACCTGTGGTATTTAATGATCTCCCAGGCCAGTGTCCATATTGCTTTTGTTAAAGATGAAATTTCTTTTACAAACAGTGGGACAAAGTTGTCAATTACTGCTACAGCTGAAGCTTACCATGGTTACCAACAAAGGATATTTAATTTGACTCTGGTTGTCTATCTGACTATTGCCAGAAACCATAACAATAAGTAACAAAGAACATAACAGAAAACTGTCTAAAATATTTCAGAAAAAAACCCAAATACTAAATCAATATGAAATTTAGTGTGACACATGATACTAGCATGAACCAGTGATCCAAGTTTGTAAATCTTGATGTTCTTTTGGGTTGGTTACAAGCCACAACCAACCAAATACACTGGTAACATGGTAAGAATGCATTATGAAAGATGCAATTAATGTTGTACAGAAAGAAGAAAGAAAGACTAACTAAAGATGCCTCATCACCACACAAAAAATGGATCCCTACCTTGACCAGTACCTGTTAGGGTGGAAAAACACTTTGTCAAAAGGGAATCAGGTATACATGGCATGTGAAGTATATGATTCACATTGTGTACATAGGTGAAAAGGGAATTCAGAAAATCTAACATGTCAGTCAGACAATTCTTGAATGGCAACAAAACATTGATATACACAACTGAAGTCTGGTGTAGATTTCTTGGATTCATTTACCAGGCCAATGCAAAAATTAACACTGGATGTTCATTTGATTCAAGGCATGAATGGCAAAGGGCCTGTGGCAACAAACAAGATCTGGTACAATATGTTAAGAAATCGGAAACGTAAAGGGTATGAGTTTAATATTATATATTGTTTGCAATATTGAAAGCATGTTTCTTTAGAGTGGAAAGGTAGAGCATCAGCAATGGCAGCCTGTTGAAGAACCCTTAATGACATTTGAAGGTTGATGCAAGATGCCATCATCAGTGCAATATGAATACTTGATATGAATAAAGTTGAAAGTGAGGACAGCAGCTCATCTGAAGTTTTGGGTCCCATATTATAGATGAATTTGAACATTTCTAATTGGTAACAGTGACCTTTAATATTGTCTGAAAATTCTCTCAGAAAATCTTAAACACCTTGCAATTCCAAATGATACAAGGGAACAAAGATGCATCAATTTCCAGCTTGGACTGAGTGAGAAAAAAAGCATACTTAGCTCAAGTGTCAGGACAAAAGACAAAATGCTTTTCCAATGGACCGAAATCACAAATGTTAAACATTTACAACGGCTGACATCTCAGCTTGTTATTGAAGGTGAAACGTATTTGATGCTAGCGATGAAACAAATCCATGAAGGACTGATGACAGATGAAGAAAAACTGATGAGCAAGATGGAGAACTGATGAAATTCCAAGTTAATGATGTGACCAGATCATAGGACTTTTTACAAAACGTCAAATCTGCCTCAATTCACTTCATTTCACTTTACCACATTCCTTGTTGAAATTCACACAATCCAAAATGTTACAGACCTTGTTGTGCCCAATACTTTGCTTTGGCATGTCTTTACTACAATGTCAACCTAGAGCTGAAGCCTACTGATTTTCATTAAAAATGTGAACATATCTTTACACAAATATGGATACTGATAAAGAAATTTCAATGTAAAGTTGATATCATAATAATGTCCGATGCCATTTGTCTTTAAGTCTCTGCTACCATAGAGCAGAATAAAACAAATCAAATATAAAAAACAATTCTTATTTAGCCAATACTGTTTGCATCAACTCACATCAACATCTTAAAGATCCAGATGCTTTCTAACAGGGGTTAAATATGACTTAATAATACCAGTAATGAAATAAGTACAAAAAGCAAATACTATTATTTCTTATGCTGAAGACCTTCATGGAGAATTTGAGGAATTAGGGACCTGGTCTTAGATTTACCAACTCAGGTTTCAAGCAAAGGGAACTCGCATATGTTTTGGAGGATGCATACATTTATGGTTGTTATGGTACATCTGTGCAAAATGGTTTGCATTTTAAGTGATGCACACTACTGAACATGGCAACATGTTAACCATACCAGCACAGCATTGAACTGAACCATTGACTTTGTGTAACTTTAATTTTACCTTTCCCGATCTCGATAGGCTCAATTGGTCCTTCAGGCTCTTCATTGGTGTTTCTTCTCCTTCGTCGATTTCCTGGGTTCCTCCTTTGTCTGCGATTTCCCCTCTTAACTTGCCCATCGCCATCACCATCACCATCACCACCCCCTTCTTCGTTGTCCTGGTTCTCATCCCTCACTTCTTCTCGGTCATCAACATCATTGTCGATGATGGGTGCTTGTTTGTCAGCCTCTGACATCGTAAGGTAAGATGAATAAATTGACTGGAAGCTTCAGCTGAAAAGAAATAAGTACTGATTACTCCTCATGGACTTTGGATAAAATCGCTGTGCTTCAGATCAATCATGCTAATGTCAGAACCTATGTGCCTGGTTACTTACCAGTGAAAATAATGTGCCATGGATCTGAATTGCTGGGCAAAGGTCACACTCATGCAGTGATTTTGCAAGGGACAAATGACATTTGGACTCTTTCATTAGTTTCAAGATTGTCACTTTTTCATAGCATTCTTCAATGAAAAATAGAAACTTCGCTAAAAATTGAAACTTGTATTATTATGAAGGACAAGTCAACATCCTACAAATGAAACCCTGAGTTTTAGGATATTAACAATGTTTTCAGGGGACCATGACCCAAGCCCCTAGCCACTTTACAAAAATACAGATGGTGTAGTTATATTTCCATTTGATGAGAAGAAAACTATTTGTTCACAGCATTGGGGTGATGAAACAAAATGACACTGTAACCATGGTAACACTGTGTACTCTATCAGTACACACCATAGCACTATAAATATTTAAAATCAAAATCTCTCATTCAGAATTTTCACTAGACTGCCACTGAGAGCAAATGATAGCAAAATGGTAAGACTGCTGGGACGTAATGATTTGTACACAGAATAATTGAAAGTCAAACAGGACTTCCCTCAACACTTGTAACATTAAAAGGATTGATATTTCGGTTACAAAGTTCCCATTTTACTGCATCAACTATATTCTACCAAGTTCCCTTTTCATTGTAATAACTACATTCTTTATTTCACCTTGCATTGAAACAGACCAATTGTTTACAACGATTTGTACCATACATCCTATTCCTAATAACTTTGTCATTTCATTCCACTATCCTGCACATTACATGGCTCTTAACACTGGGCTGTATTTATTACTGAACATGACAGTGCAGTCCTTAATGATGATTTCAATGCACTTATACTTCATTTAAACTGCAACTTGCCACAAATACAATAATATGAAAGTGATAAACCAGCATGGTTAAATAAACTAACATCCAAACATTGAGGGACATTTAACACACAACAGGAAAACAATATCAATCTTTGAATTTTTATCATTTCATATAGTCTTGCATGTGTTCATTGTGAATGTTCAGTCACATCTAACTTTTAACTCAATCTTAATGTTATATCATAGTATACTACATGCAATGACATTTTCTTACCAAGTAAGGTATGAAAAGCAAGTGCAGAAGCAAACAAAGAAGAAGTTCAAAACATCACTGAATTCATCTTAAAAATGATACAACTTTAGAATGATTGATAAGTGATATCTCAGTCATGTAGTGCAGTTGCCGTCTGCTAAAATGTCAAGGAAGAATAGATAAAATAATGTAAACAGACCTATTATAATCAAACAACCTAACACCACCTACTTCAGTGACTATTCAGTTTTAGTTTGGGGAATCTAAGAACAAAATCCCCATTTCTCAAGGACAGCAATTAATACAGCTGTAATTGAGAAAGCAATAAGCCTATCATTATTTGATGAGGATGTGGCAAATTTGTTTTGATTTGGAATGGGTACAAGCTATATTCCTCTGACGTCATTGTCAAGCTTCCACGTGACGTCACCAAACATCCACATGGCACGGCATGTTGTGCAAAGTCCTCGTTGACAGACTTTTAAATGTTAATATTGTATGAATAAACACACTGCAACTAGTTTGAAAACATTCTGTCGTATTTAGTGTGTTTTAAACACGAGTAAGAGAAAGGAGAGGTGTTTGAAACTCGGACGAGAGGAACGACCCACATCAACCGGCATCCATTGAATTTCTCGCCAGGTGAAGGTTTTAAGAGCGCCCAAAAGGAGTTATTTCTACAAATGCGTTAAAAGTCATACTTATGCCTTATCTTGGTTGTTTGCACAATCAGGAAATTGATATTCAAAGAGCACTGCGCAACTTGTAACAGCTGACACTTCTACACGTAAGCAGATGCCGAAAGTTCTACTTTTGCAAGGAGGCAGCCATATTCTGTCTCACGCGGAGTGAAAGTTGTTACAAAAAGTAGAATGCATCACGGTCGGGGGGGAAAAAGAACTTGAAACGGATTACAAATCGAAAATTTGGAAAGGGAACGCAATACAGTCATTATGGCAGTGTTCGAGAGTCTTTTTGAGATGTTTTACATTTTTTACACAGTATAATACTGAAACTAATGTTTTCTCAGTTTGGCGAATGTACGACATTTAGCTTCGAGGACTATCTTGTGAAGGACAGGTAGAAATTCGGAATTATTTTTACATTCCTCTCACCAGGGAGAAGAGAAGAAGCTGTAGATTATCCCTTCTCTCACATATTATCCACTAAACTGGTTTGCATCAAATCTACACACATAAAAACGTATATCATGCCATATGTTCCAAACTTTGGCTGCATATCTGACTTGAGTCCATTCTTTTAGCCCCGTGTATGCTTACCACAAAAGAGAAGGACCTCGTTATGGTTTGGTTGTGAAGATTGGATCAGATGCAGTGTGCTCGGCAATATCGAAATAACTCCCTGGGTGAACATTTAGGGTTCACAGAAAATGTCTTGTCCTCACCTGTGCATTACTTCATGAGATCTTAACAAATCGAAATATATATAATGTTTAAGGTTTCCTTCTCACAAACTACACTGTCAGTATATGTACACCATCATGAAAGTGACTTTGACTTCATTAGCCATGTGAGTATTTAACAGGTTTGTCTAAATTACATTCCTCCATCATAGCGTACACACTAATATGCAGCAACATAAGGCTGTAGCAGTTCGTGAGCGGATGTCTGTTTCCTTTTAAAAGCGTTCATAGCAATGGAGATGAGCGGTCGAGGTACAGCTTCAGTACTCTGCATGCATGTCGCGGGTACACGTGGTCAGTACCTCAGCCGTTATGACAACATACGCACATGATGCAGAGCAAGTCAACATTTTCCCCAATTTCCAAACTCACTGGGGTTCCCTTTCAGATTAAAATTCCAACTCTTAAAAATGCCACTCAAAGAAGTTAGAAGATTAAAATTAGTATATTAACTGAAGATCTCCTTCGGATTTCGCCAATGACGATTAATACAGTATCATACTTGGTTGTCCATTTTGGTTTGAGTCAGATTAGATTTACACAAATCTAAAACTTACCGTCCAATCATATTAATCTCATGGGCGATCGAAATTCTGTGCTAAGGGACCGTTCATAATTTATGGCTATTTATAATCTGGGGAGGTAGGGGAGTCATCAAATTTGAAAACGTGTACTCTGTGCACACATATGTGTGTGTGGTGGTGGTGTGTGTGTGTGTGCGTGCGCGCATGTCGCGGGTAGGCGTGGTATGTACCTCATTCATTATGACAACATACGCACATGATGAAGAGCAAGTCCACATTTTCCCCAGTTTCCTAACTCACTGGGGTTCTCTTTCAGATTAAAATTCCAACTCCTAAAAATGCCACTCAAAGAAGTTGGAAAATTTGAAAACATGTACTGTGTGCACACATGTGTGTGTGTGTGCGTGCGTGCGCGCGCGCACATGTGTGAGAGAGGGCAATTTTGTGCATATTAATTTAAGAAATTATTCTTACAAATTATGGGAGGGGGTGAGGGGTGAGGTCATTGATTTTGTAAATGACATTCAGGGGGGCTCATTTACTTTGTACGTAAATTGGGGTGGGGGTGGGGGTGGGGGTGATTCACATTATACATGCTTGTCCATAAAATTATCATCACCCCCCTAGTCATAATTATGAACGGTCCCTAAGTTAGAGATATGGGCTTTGGGAATGCTGACGTCATAGGGTTTATTCTTGGTGAGGTGTGGGACAGTGTGTGCATGCGATCCTACTGAAAAAAGAAACATTTAAAGCGACCCAATGACCCGTACGTTGAACCGATATGACATACATGAGTGAGAGTCCATATTCGCCATGTCCCTGTACCATACTGGGTCGCATAGGGGCTGGTAAAACGTAATCCTGTATTTATTTCAACTAATATGTGGAAACTGATAACTACAATCTGAAGCCAGTTATGTCTTATGACTTGATACTTTTGAAAACGTCGTCATATGAGCGAAATATTCTCAAGCACGACGTTAAACCCAATTTCACCTCACCTCACCTTTTGAAACATTCTTTGTTTCAATTGCAAACATAGCAAGGCATCTTTCGTTTCACTGTGAAGTTGCTATTTTTGACACAACTCCGTAAACTTCTTAATGGAACGAAGAAAAACTATTATCATATAATATTGGGAATATACTGTTTTCTGTTATGATGAAAAAGAGCTGAATAGTACTTACAATTTGCATTTTGCCAGTTCGAGTTTTGGCCAATAAAAACGTTCCCGTCTGCGTTTTATTTTTGCTGCGTTCTGCCAACATGGCGGCGTCCATCGCAAGTCGGTTTTCTGTCAAATCGACTTTAGGGATTTGGAAGCACATGTGCAGACACTTAACTCAGGTTTCAGTGAGTACTTTATTTACTTATCTACAGTTCGTGGGCCAGTTCGTTTAAACTGCAGTTTGCTGATCGTATGCTTGCCACTTTCGTAAACAAATCGGCTTTATCATTTATGATCAACATGCATATTGAACTAAAGCATAAAAACAAAAGTCAAAACTTGTACCATTGACAATTTTGTTCAGTGCAGATTACCGGGTGCAGCCTAGGCGTGCAAGCATCGCACTGTCTCGCTATGTGGCTAAACTTGCTCAAGCTCAAGTATCTACACCCGTCCTAGTCTGTCTCACAGTCCCATATTATTACCCTCCCTACAGCCTAGCCCTCCCTGCAATGCTAAAGCCCTAAATGAAGCAAGTCTAGATTTCTCCAGGTAATCTCTGGTCTCCCTGGGGCTCCTATCAATTTAAATGGGTTTATTTGTTACAAACAAAATATTCAGAGACTAAGCGTTAGTCTACACCTGTCCCTGCATCAGGTTGGGGAAACCATAACGATCGGCCTATAATAGGCCTTTCTGACTATTTTTCTATAGGCGGATCGGGCTATATTTGAACATTTGACTAATTATTTCACAAACTATCAATTTCCGCACGAAATGGTTTTATATGATCATAGAGATTAGTTAATGGACCTCCTCAGCTTGAAAAAAATAAGTTTTTGGACAAAATAGAAATTTATATCATGTTCAGGAAAAGATGTTTCATTTAAGAACACAATTTTGCTCAGATTTTCTTTTTGAAAACTAAAACTGAATATCTATGTCATTAATTTTCAGTGAAAATTGTCAAAAAATATTTTAGACTTATATTTAATTAGCAGTTCCCAAAATCCTTTATTATGTAATGAAAGTTCTCAAAAAGGGTTTGAATGAAAACCTAAGGACATCAAAATTTGAATGATGTTAATATCCTCATGCGGAAATGCACCACTTAAAATTCATTTGATAAATATCATTATTATAGGCCAATCGGCCTGTAGCAAAATAGGCAGAACGGCCTATAATATCCCGTTTGGCCTGTTAGTATTATAGGCTGATCGGTAGGTTTTCCAAACTTGTACATGGGAGGTAGCTCACATGTCTTTACTAGTAAACACACCTTTACGATCCGAGGGAGATGACACGTCTTTACTACCAAACACTCTTTTATTATCCTGAGGGTTTAGATGTGAGGCTTTTCCTACATATCTTACCTTATTTCAGTGTTATAATCCACTTGTGTACAATTTGAACACTCCCCGTTGCTCTATTGGCTGTTCATATTTGATGGACAGTGGCAGGTGTGACTTCCAGAAGATGAATGAAGAGTGTATGTCACTAACACCCATGTGCAATGTTGTGTTTACTTCATTTGGCATGCATGTTATTGAGGTGGGAATGATCTGTTAAATGAGCACTCATTGTCCGTGATGGTACTTGTGGTCCTGTGATTCAGCGTCGGGTGATTGCAACACTAATTAGCTGATGCAGTTATCCAGCGAAGCATGTCCAAGCCCCACATTGCTAATTGTATTTAAAAAATGTGAGCTTGGTAAGGTGCACTACTCCCCAAATGAAGCCATTAGTGTTCCTACTAAACCTTGTCAGAATGTTTGAACAAAGTTATTATATCTATTCAATAACATACAGTTTACCCATTTAGTCTGGCGCTAATTAGCTCTGGATAAAACTTGATAGGTGTGCCTTGGCCTTGTGGCAATAAATCATTAAGTGAATATTTGTAAGTGAGATTGTGCATTTAAATAAACAATTCATTTTTGAGTATTCATTTGTTTCAATGAAAACAGAAGTCAAATTCTAGCAATTAATGACTAAACTTTAATTTGTCGGGTAATTTGATGGTATAACTAACATTCAGTAGTAACTAAGTGAATTAACTGTAAATATAGCAGTAATGGCTTCCCAGGCTGGGTCGGGTCATGCTGGCTCTAGCACCCAGGTCAAAAATTTGTACCAGTCCCAGAGTTAGTTGTTATTATTGTATAAACAAGTAATGTATTCATCATCACTACTGGTGCTGCTTATTGATATGATTGACATAAAAAACATGATATAGATTAAAAATTGAAGTCAACAATGTACTTTACAGTTCGGTCCAAGAAATTCATAGTTATGGACAAAATATTGAAATATGATAATTTTCTGTAAGAATGCTTCACATACAATTATACATAAAGCTGAAATCAGCTGTGTCAGTATACAGAAGAGGACGCAGGGTGTGCAATGTGGATCCCCCTTGACTACCTGAGGCAGGGTCCAATATTCATGTGACTACCTGTCCATGGACAACAGAGTTATCTGTGTAGCAATTTGATGGTATAACTAACATTCAGTAGTAACTAAGTGAATTAACTGTAAATATAGCAGTAATGGCTTCCCAGGCTGGGTCGGGTCATGCTGGCTCTAGCACCCAGGTCAAAAATTTGTACCAGTCCCAGAGTTAGTTGTTATTATTGTATAAACAAGTAATGTATTCATCATCACTACTGGTGCTGCTTATTGATATGATTGACATAAAAAACATGATATAGATTAAAAATTGAAGTCAACAATGTACTTTACAGTTCGGTCCAAGAAATTCATAGTTATGGACAAAAATATTGAAATATGATAATTTTCTGTAAGAATGCTTCACATACAATTATACATAAAGCTGAAATCAGCTGTGTCAGTATACAGAAGAGGATGCAGGGTGTGCAATGTGGATCCCCCTTGACTACCTGAGGCAGGGTCCAATATTCATGTGACTACCTGTCCATGGACAACAGAGTTATCTGTGTAGCAATTTGATGGTATAACTAACATTCAGTAGTAACTAAGTTGAATTAACTGTAAATATAGCAGTAATGGCTTCCCAGGCTGGGTCGGGTCATGCTGGCTCTAGCACCCAGGTCAAAAATTTGTACCAGTCCCAGAGTTAGTTGTTATTATTGTATAAACAAGTAATGTATTCATCATCACTACTGGTGCTGCTTATTGATATGATTGACATAAAAAACATGATATAGATTAAAAATTGAAGTCAACAATGTACTTTACAGTTCGGTCCAAGAAATTCATAGTTATGGACAAAAATATTGAAATATGATAATTTTCTGTAAGAATGCTTCACATACAATTATACATAAAGCTGAAATCAGCTGTGTCAGTATACAGAAGAGGACGCAGGGTGTGCAATGTGGATCCCCCTTGACTACCTGAGGCAGGGTCCAATATTCATGTGACTACCTGTCCATGGACAACAGAGTTATCTGTGTAGCAATTTGATGGTATAACTAACATTCAGTAGTAACTAAGTGAATTAACTGTAAATATAGCAGTAATGGCTTCCCAGGCTGGGTCGGGTCATGCTGGCTCTAGCACCCAGGTCAAAAATTTGTACCAGTCCCAGAGTTAGTTGTTATTATTGTATAAACAAGTAATGTATTCATCATCACTACTGGTGCTGCTTATTGATATGATTGACATAAAAAACATGATATAGATTAAAAATTGAAGTCAACAATGTACTTTACAGTTCGGTCCAAGAAATTCATAGTTATGGACAAAAATATTGAAATATGATAATTTTCTGTAAGAATGCTTCACATACAATTATACATAAAGCTGAAATCAGCTGTGTCAGTATACAGAAGAGGACGCAGGGTGTGCAATGTGGATCCCCCTTGACTACCTGAGGCAGGGTCCAATATTCATGTGACTACCTGTCCATGGACAACAGAGTTATCTGTGTAGCACAAAAATGTGCAAAAATTGAGCATAATTATGACGTTTTTGAAGGAGAATGTCTTCTATTTGCATATATGTCAGAAACATATTTAAGTGTACAATGTATCTGAAAGCTTATTCATTGCAGAATTATGATATATGTGTCATTTTTCAGGCACACAAATGCCCATATATTTGCTAAAATGGCTTGGTGCAAATGAGAAACTAGTTATTTGTACCATATTAATTTTTTTTTCAGATTGCAGGGCTACCAAGTTTTGTGAAAATAGTTGAAGTTGGGCCGAGAGATGGTCTTCAAAATGAAAAGGTTGGACAATGTATAATGACAATAAGTAATGTTTTAGTTACTACATTTTGTATCTTTTATCATTATAAACATGAGTTCAGTAACTTAGGACATGTTAGAAGATGTATTCAGGTGTAATGTTGAGATATAATATTCACCAGATCAGTGAGCAGATATTGCATGTACTATGTTAAGAATAAGTAAAGTAATCATAACAATTTCTGCCTGATGTTGGGAACACAAGTCTCATGGAAGAATTCCATGATTTGCCACTGAAAACAGCAAAAATCGTTCCTATACATTACAGATGAAAACCTCAACACCTGACATTTTTTCATTATGTATGTTAAGCAGTTTTAGTTTTCATATATTACACTAAGGTATGTAGTATCTTAGTCTTTGAATTGCATTCACAAGTGGTACACATAAGGGAGAGAGTAGTATATATAATGATGAATCTATTACATGGTCCTTTGCTTACCGTTTGGAGACCATCGAGATCCCGACGCGCAGGCCTTTCTCGACGAACAGGTGCATGTCGCAGTCAGTTAAAAGTGCCAGCTTCACCCTGGTCTTTTTCAACAAGGCGTCCCAAGAGAGACCGGGGGTGGAGAAATACCATGCGGGGTCTAGGCTGTACTGTTTCGAGCACATTTTTCTGAATATCTCGAACACGTCGGCCAGCAGCAGCACGTCATTTTTTAAGTACAGGTTGTGGTAGTCGCCCAAATTCTTGCAGCCCAGTTTGTCCCACCACGTTGAGGCGTCTTGCGACCAGCCGTCCATGTATTAAATGGCGTAGGCGCCCTTCCTCAGCAGCAGATGTCGAGTCTCGGCGTCGGTGTATCGCTGGTTGATGTCGAAGTCATTCGGGTCGTTGGCCTTCACCAAACTGTCTAGCGAAGACAGCAGGAACTGAATGCTGTCGATGAATCTTAGACCGTCTAACGAGAAGAAGATGTATTTTTCCATGTTGTTGGAGATGCACTTTAGGTTGCCGTCGACCTTCGCAATGGCCTGCATTATAAGGTGAGAATCGTAACTGCTAAGATTGTGAAACACGACAGGGATTTTGAACAGTTCTGGAACAGCCTCCTCCGTCCTCGTCAATGACATCTTGTATATTATTGTTATTATTATTGTTTTCTTTAAATCTTCAATGCTTTGCCATGATGATCGCCGCGGTCAGAGGAGCCAGTAGCATACTGTACCGGTGGAACATTTCGCAGCTGACGGATCTTTCTGGAGGTCTTCGCATATGTACAGGCGACGTTCCAGCGGAATGGGAAGGAAGTACGACGTAGATTTGCGTCATGGCCGATCCTATGGTTTTCGTCATTTCAGTGCCGAGTCTGACTTTGTATCTCGCGTACAGCTTGTCGTCGGGCATTTTGTGAATTTTGCAGGGAGTGAGGTCCCCACCGAAGTATTGTTTGGCTTTGCCGGCAATCGCCAATCGCCAGCGCCACCAGTCTCTCCCGCTTGTTGTCTTTTTTATTATCATCCTCTTTTATCATTTTATCATTTGCTCGAGCAGGTTGTTGCACTCCATCTTATAATGTAGTAAACTATTTATAAATCTAAAAAAATAAAATCCAACGCACGCGAAACACAGCGATAGGAAAGTCAAGTTACACGCAACGAAAATTTCGAACTTTGTGCTTAAATTTGCTAAAGTTCTTGCTAGAATTTTGTTTAAGCTAGCGAATTTTATACGCTACGGGTTGGTCAGTTTTCAATAGGAGTTTGGCGTGTTTTGTTTCGTCGAGCTGTTTTTTCACGCAGTCAAGTGCTTGTTTGCTCGGAATCATGTCATTTTCTTGCAAGCATTCCTTGAACGAATCCCTGTCCTTGCAGTGAAACAGGGCGACCCATCGCGTCTGCTCCGGTAGGTCTTTGAGCACCAAGTTAAATTTTTGTGTCAGCACCCAAACGCTGTGTTTCGTGTGCCGGCCCGAGAAGGCCAGGTACGACAGCATGTCTCGTTTTTTAACCATCTCCTTGTTGGCGCTGCAGTCGTCCAGGACGAACAGCGTTGACTCCCCTTTAAATTTGCAGACGCGTTCCGGGATCCACTTTGTGCACGTCCGGGTCTGTCATCACCCACGCTCTCTCCGTGTACGTCTTGTTCACTTGCAAAGTCGGGCAGAGAACGACGATGTGGTTGAATGCATCCCGATACTATCCTTCCAGCATGTCCAGCATGAAAGCCGTTTTGCCGCATCCCGTCTGACCGCAGACGATGGCGCAGTGGGGATTCACAAAGCAGATCGATCTCAATATCGAATTTTTCGATCGAAAAATTATCAATAAAGGGCTTGCACGAATCTTCCATTGTCTATATTAAGCTGCGCATCCATAATCACATACAAATATAAATTTAATTTACCGTCGGTTTGAGGATTTTTGGTGAATTGGATGGTGATCCCCTTGCTGCCTTTGTCGACGCGTCGTCCGCTGCAGTGCAGCCGATCGTCGTCCGTTGATCACATGTCCAGCCACAGCGCATACTTGGTGGTCAGGTATTGTCCTAGCGTCACGTAGGTGAGACCTTGACGATCACGTTGATTTCCGGTGGGCGCTTGATTGCCGGTAATTTTTAGATCTCATCCCACTGCTGGTAAGCTCGCATGCCTTGGCTGAACAGCTGATTGGGCACGCCCTCGACGGTCACTTCCACTTTGATAATCTGGAGGTTCCAATATTTTTCATTGACTCTTTGAAACAGTGAAAATTCGTCCACCGGAATGATCAAAATAACCTTCATCGATCGAGCGGGCATGTTCAGATTGATATTACACAACGTATCGCTTTTATTCGCGACGATCTTCCGATGATGCAGCACGCAATCGTACAAGATGGCTAACGTTCCCAAATACTGGTTGAATTTGTGACGTTGTCGAACTCCAAAGAAATATTGTCGATGATATAGCTTACCCCCTCGCTGCTCTCCGTAAAAATAATGCTGCTATAATCGTTAAACATGAGTTCGTATTCCAGCCTATCGCCTAACGCGGCTTTGTAAAATGGCATGTGACCAGTAGTTCGAAGTCGAGCGGAATGCAAAATCGGTTTTCTCGAATGCCTCAGCTATAGCCTTATGTTTCCTCGGTATAGCGGCGAGATCGGCTTGTTCAAAAGCATACCCCACTCGCAACCGAGTCGACAGACAATCGGTTGAACAAATCCAATGGTATTTCATGTTTTCCCGTTCGCTCGCAGTTCTCCAGAGATCCGCATAACTGAAAAACACATCGCTGTCGTCGATGCTCAGGATCTCGTTCCCACTGATTTTGATGGTCATTTTTTTCACGATGGCACGACCCAGGATCCCCATGATTTCTCTTTTATCATCATCGGAATCCAAACTGATCTGAAAAGACAGACAGGCCGTCCCCAGGACAATGACATCGTTCACGCCCAGGTTTGGGAATCAAACCAACAGCGTTTGGTTTTCGTCGATCGTGCTCGGATTGTTGGTGATGGTCACGGATTGACAAATGGCTTTGACCCCCAGGGGTTCCCTCAATCTTCGGAAATGATCTAGTTTTCGTCAGTATTGTGACATTATTTATATTAAAAGTATATAATATAAGTTTAATAAATAAAAAGTAATGGCCGAAGGTGGTGGTGAATATATTCCAATGGACGATTTGGGTGGTGATTTGAAGCCTTGATGTACAAGACACCTCGTTCATGGGTGAAAGCATAGGCGATATCCTGTTAAAGACGACCGTGGCTGATTATTATGATGCCCTAAAACGAAAGGAAAATCTGGTTCCTCTTTATCGCAATTATTCTCAGTTTGAAATCGATGATCAAGGGATACTGCGACTGAAAGATGCTCCGGACCCTGATCTCATGAATTCCCGTACGAGAAAACCCCTATCCTTGTCCAGGCTGGCCAGTCGCCAAGGTGTCGACTTTATCTTTTATCTGCGACAAATTAAACCTGCGAGGTTACGGCGGTGCATAGCCCAAACTTCCCCCGAAGACCGCCCAGGCTTTACAAGCGGTGCGGGCGAGCTGGAGTGCCACGCGTAGCGATCGACAATGATTTGAGAGGCGTGCGCATAAGCAGCTCAAAAGCATGGAACAATATCGAAAAATATTGTCCGCGTGCTGGATCGAACCCTTGCCAGGTTTGAATATCCCGTTTAGGGAACTCGCGAGGGCTAGGCAAGGCCTTCGCGAACCATTAGGTGGAGAACTTCGTGAACAACATGGGCAAAACTAAAGCGAAATCGATGAGCACATGCGGCTGAGTGAGAAAACTTCGGGATCCTGGATGACAAGGCCACGAAAAACATCAATGAGAAAAGATTGCGCGACCTGGAAGGCGGACCCGATTGGAAGCCGCTTCCTCTCTGAAGCGGTAAGCGGGAAGGCTCAACCATCGACCGAGTCTTGAGCGAGGGACACCGTTAATGGCCCGACAGGATCGAACTCTGTTCGGGAACAAAGGGATCACCATCGCCAGCATTCTGACAGCCTTGGGCTTCATCATATCGACCCTGGTCTTATCGCTGAAGGGCGGCGGCGGCGGCGGAGGCGGCACACCAAGCCCAACACCACCAACAAGTCCATCAGGCGACGTCAGAGACTGGAGAAAAAACATCTGAAATCGCATGGGGAAGCCTTGGCAAGACTAGCTGTCAAAGCCGCCGAATTGCTGCCTGGCATCTTGGGCAGCATCGTTTCCTGGCTGCTGGCCACGCTGTGAAAACGTTCACATGGCTTGGTCAAAACCTGTGGCCTCCTTCACAGCTAAGGAATTTTTAACAAAATGAGACACAGTCCAACCGCGATCCCGACGACCACCAGCGCCGTTTTGCGATCGACGTGCCGCTGATTGTTTGCCTGCACGTGCAGAGGCTGCTGCTGCTGCTGTCGTTGTGGTTTTACTTCATGTGTAGGGGGTGGCGCCACGATGCCCGTTTCACCCGTATGCTGCGGCGCGACTCGACTCACATTATTGACATCCGAGTTCAAGCCAAACTTTTGATCGCCAGTGGCGATGACGATTTTGTTGTTGTAGCCCACAACTCTGTTCACCCTCAGTTGCATGTCGCTCGGAGCCATGTCCAGTCCCACGCCGTACATGGCTGGAAAGACAGACACAAGCACCAACGTTACCGTATCATCATACGACTGGGATCAACACCCTTAGCAAGCCTCGATGGGGTTCGTGTTATAGAAACAAAGAAGTCCCTTCATCTCCCGAGTATCTACTTGCACGAAGATCTAAACTTTATCAGCATCAAATACATCAATCAAAGATTGACGGAAATTCAATTAAATATTATTTTCTAAACTTATACCATATTACTTGTATAACCATGGGTGACATTTCAAACCTGAATCTGATCTCGGGTACATGCGAGGATTTGATCAACCCAGTACGGAAAACGCCTAATACGTATTGCGCTTACAAAACAATGTGTACCAACGATGAGAAGTGATAATCGAATCTCAATTGAACTGAATCATCAATATTATCCTTACCTACCCCTATCTTGTCATGGATGAGGTTGGTAATGTCATCAAACTAAAAAGTAATGGGGTTGTACTGAATAGTTTTATTCAGGGTATAAAAAAAAGGGATATACGTATCAACATTACCAGATCCAACAGGTAATATGTTAGTCACCCGTCCGGAAAACAAACAAAAATGGTTAGAGTTAAGAAAATATACTGAAGTCAATGTGATACAAGGTTCTACACTTATTGTAGAAGTCTTTCTTGGAGATGCCCCCACAGAAGATATGAGAATTCTGTTGGGGTTAAAAATACACTGGCATGATCGCCATCAAAATAAACATTGTCGTATATATATACAACCAGGAAGAGCCCCCACCACAAACCTCGAGGGGGTCATGGTTTTTCAGGAGCCTAGCATTTTACTCCGGACCAATTTTTTATACGAACACTTGTACCTCATCAGCTTAAAGTATATTCATCAAAGATTGACGGAAAATGAACTAAATATTATTTTCTAAGCTTATATTCTATTTTCAAGATGGGATTGTATCCGGCCATGGACAAAGTAGCCCAAACGCTCGAAACCGTGGACGGATTTCATTTGCGACAAATCAGCGAGATTAAATGTTAACTGGAACGAGAACGCGAGGTGCGACTAGGATTACCAATAAAATACCATAGAGCAACAAATGCTCTGGACGGTGTAGACACCACGCTCGTAGCAACCAGCATGAGGCTCGGTGCTGCCGGTGTCGGTTTATTATCGACCAGCGGGCTGCACCTGTGGTGCTAGGCATTGAAATAACAGCTGGAGTGGCAGGGTTGGTGGGATTGGCTCTTAAATTCATTTCACATCGGCTGCAACGTAAAGCATCAAAACACGACGAAATTAGAATTCTATCCGAAGCGAAGTTAAGCACGATCGACGATCACGTATCAAAAGCGCTCATGGACAGTAAAATCTCCCAGGAAGAGTTCCGTGTTAGCAGAACTCGCCAAATACCACAGAATGAAACAGGAGATTCGTACCAAGACTCGGAAAAGCACTGGCATCAGCGAAGAGGAGAAAACAAAGTTCATAGAACAAGGGAGACAACAAATCATTGCAACCTTCCTTACCAAGAACAAAGATCTCATAAAAGATTAATGTTGAACTGTTTTGTAGATATCAACATAACATAGAAAGATAGAAAAATAGAAAGGTTGATAAATTAACAAAAGTCCCCGGCAGCCACAATCCCCAAAGGAGAAATTATCGAAAGATTGATGTTGTTGCGCAACTTCTCCCAGGGGATTGCGTCGGCTACCATGCTCTCACCTTGAGAGTGCCCCTACTCAGAAAGACCCTTCCTCAGGATCCAACTGATGTGATCTTGATTCCTTGCTTTGCGTTTGAATTGAAAGGTACAAGGAATCCAACAGAGGCATCGGAGGGATACGAACTCACAATGGCAGAGCTGCGCAACTCCACATCATAAGAACGCACCACACAACCGATTGCGCTACCGGGGACCTGAAGACTGAGTGTTGAAAACTTACCGGTAGTGCCTATCCTGAGATTGCATCCTCCTCCTAAGCTGGGTCCGTCTATATTATCGCAAAGGGAGCCTGGAACCAGTTTATGATGACATTCCACTTCCGCTTCAAAGTTTGAAAATGAGGACGCTCACTTCGAAAACTTTTGTTGGCTTTTTACCTCGAATAAAGGTCTAATAAAATACAAACACGATGCTCTTAGGTAGTTTCAACAACGCTAATCACGATAAATGGGTCGATGTACGCTGAATTGTTTTTTAGAAGCCACAATTCATTATTTTAGAATTGGGTTTCAGCAGCTTGGAAGGCGTATAAGCTGTATATAGCTTTAATGCACTGTCACTGGTAGAGCGAGTCTGCCGGTGTAAAGGGAACAGGCTGGACTTCGGAGGTGTTCGAATCCCTCTCGTTGCTGAAGGAAACATTTTTTTTTCATTCAATGCACCTAAAACTGAGGTCATATCCACATAGGATAAACCAACGTTCAGCATTTTTTATGAAGCCTTATTTAAAAACAAAAGAGCCTTATAGAGGGAACTCACACTTCTCATGCTGCAAGGATGAATCCATCGGTGGAAGACTATTTTTGGAAAATAAGCCTTATAGATGGACCATGTAGTAGAATCATCATTATATATACTACTGAGAGAGAATTTATGGATGTCAACTTCTGTTTTACGAAGAACACAACTTTTGGAGATCACCTATAGCTTGATATGTTGGTTCCTCATATATATATATATATATATATATAAATGAAACATTTTCTTATTTCGCAGACAATTGTTCCAACTGAAACCAAGATTGAGTTTGTCAATCGTTTGTCAGAAGCTGGACTTCCCGTGATAGAAGTTACAAGTTTTGTATCTCCTAAATGGGTTCCCCAGGTATGACATGTTTCTGTGGTATGTTTGAAGAGAAGCGATGGTCAAATGAATCACCGTCTGGCATGAATGTTAAGGAGTACTTCTCCATTGTTGTCATGACTGTAATGTTAAAATTACTGGAATACAGGGTGACTTGACTCGCATACTGTGACATGTGCAAGAGCCCTCAAAGACACAAAGACCCCCATTAAAACAACTGAAGTTGAAAAAGGGGAATGTCCCACCGTGCACCCCCTCTGGAAACTTTAAACTGAGGCTACAAAACATATGAACTTCAAAAAGGAGAATGCCCCTCCATGCACCCTCTCTGGAAACTTTAAACTGAGGCTACAAAACACATTTAGACTGCTGACCTTATTCATCTTTACATGATTGGAGAGGATGCTGATGCAGTATGTATATAATGGTATATGGTCTCTGATAAACTGTATGTTATTCATCTTGTACACTGCTAGGACAGGTATATGTTATGCTGCGTTTACATTAGGCCACGATGGCCATGATTCCGATTTTGTTTGAAAATAATAACTCATCTTATAAAGCGTGAGAGATCGCAGATCCAAATCTTAGTGATCACAAGAGATCTCTATGATCGTGATGCATCTTTATAATCGTGGCAAAATATTAAACATGTTTAACATGGCATGTTTGATATTTTGCCATGGTCATGCTGATTTTTTTAGTTATCGTTTCAAATCACATAACAGCATGAGAAAGCGTGAAAAAGCGCAATGGAGCATCGTAATACATCGTAATAAGGAGTATCAGATGTTAGTTCCAATTGTCCCACGATTGTACCAAGATCTATTGCGATTCTCTAAAGATCTATTACGATTCTATTAAGATCTCCTGCGCTGTGTCACGTTGTACACAATCAATCTCGATCTAATACGATTCAATGCATTTCTATGAACTTTTTAACACTCTGTACAATGATTAACATCCATGATTAACGTCCACAATCTATCATGATCTATTAAGCTCCCTTGTGCTGCGTTTGGTGTGTTTTCCTATAAATTGTGTTACGCTGCCAGACGAAATTCATTGTGATCCAACTGCAAACCGCATTACACTAATTGATCGTCATTTTCATTGTAGAATATAGGAGATGGTACTGAAAAAGGGCAAGGGAAAAGGAAAGAGCTCCAAAGTAGCTCATCGTGTCACAATCGTGTTTAATCGCTCTTCTTTGTCTAAACACAAGACAACAAAAGGTAGCAGATCGTTATGAACGTCTCAAAACGTAAGAAATCGCAACAGATCATATACTCAAATCGTGATGATCGTAAAACGTCGCTACAGATCGTCAACTATTTGCAACAGATCTTCATTGAAGAATAAATTGTAAGAACTTGTAAGCTCGCGTAACAGATCGTATGAAACCATAAAAAAGCGTCAAGAAAGGGAAAAATAAACAAAATGTTCCACGATCATGTTGATCTACTATGATATTTGGTTCGTGTCGGATCGGCATAATCGTGGCCTAGTGTAAACGTAGCATTAGGAAAGTTAGACGATGCCTTGTTATAATGAATGTTTATTGCTACTAATGCTTCTCTGTGTAGATGGCTGACCACACTGAAGTGATGGAGGGGATACATAGGCATGAGGGAGTAGTCTACACTGTACTCACACCGAACCTCAAGGGCTTTGATGCTGCTGTGAGTTGACACCACATACCAGGCATACTGGTTATCAGCACTATTATTCATTTGGACCAGGGCCCACTTGTACAGAACGATCTTAGTTACAATCAATCTTAGGCCCCTACAATCAACTTTACAATCAACATACAATTACCCCAATCCACTTGCACAAAGCCGATCTTAACGCGATTGTAAGACGGCATGTATTTAAGATCACCATCTTAGCTAAGATCGAACTCTTCAACAGTGCAGGTACGAATTTCTTAAACTCGACTCCTGCCTACAGTTGTCTGCAAGTGCGCATAGCATGCTGCGCAAATAAAAAGTTGAACTGGTTACTGCACACAACACATACCTCCCTCAATCGCACTTGAAGAATTTTCATGAAATAATCCCACAAATCTTTGAAGGAAAACGATTATGTGAAAGATAACATATATTTTTCTACATTCAAACTGTCTTGATTAATGAACTTATAATGTGATATTGCAACCACAGAAATACCTACTCATGTTTTATGAAACTACTGAAATACGAAAAAAACCATGAATATATTTGGATCTAGATTTAGTGACTTAATAATTATGAAACTTAAAACATATAATATAAACAAAATTTCCTTATGATATATGAGATTGTTTAGGACGCATCTGTTCTGGAGATTTGGAGTAAAATACCAAATATATCCCACAAGTATTGGTTTTGTAAAGATATGAAAAGGTGACATGACTACTGGAGTGTTGTGGAAAATGCATGACAGGAAAATAAGAATCATAAATAATATTTCGTGTGTGTAGTATGTGTTGTTAAATACCTATTCACAGTGTGTTAATTATTTAACCCTATTTCGTTGATAATTGTTTTTTCTTATTGTGAAATTCCTTTTTACACAAATTTCAAATCCCTCAGCAAGTGTATTTCCCTGTTTGATGAATGATTGTATTATATTTAAAATGCATAGATTAAAAACCCTCGTCTCTCGTCCGACTCAAATTAAGAATGAAAAAGAAACTTGTTTTGGCACTTTATCTAATTGTAGATTATTTTAATGATAAACTAAGACAAAGTCAATGACACGAATGTGACCGAAAAAAAAAATATGTGGAGCTCAGTGATGTCACAACATCAAATACATTGGCACTGCAGACCCTACGGCAACGGCATAATATGCCAAGGGAAACTACTTCCATCTTGCGTAAAATCTAAGATTAGCTGCCCTTGAGTTATTGAAAAGGTCACGGCCATTGCTAATCGCATGCGGACACCATTCGCTTTTATCCTTTCCTTGATTATCAAAAAAGGTATGTTGTTTCACACTTATTCCAACATTGAATCGGGTGGGAATAGTGCTTTGTGATATCAACTTGATAGTTATGTGTTTCGCTACAACAAATAACAATGGATCCCATGTTAAATAGGTTGTGCATTCTCCATGTTGTTGAAGTGTCGAGGCGAACCATACAGTTTTGTGCAATATAGAAGCAATCTCCAAACGTAAAGCTGAATATTTGCGCGTAACGCCATTTTGTCACAGACTACAATGATCGTAGCGCCTTACAATTGGTCCAGACCAATTGTAAGTTTCGATTGTAATTTACAATGATATTAGTCTACAACTGCTTTGTGCAATTGGATGGAGGTTGTAGCCGAGGCCTAAGATCGTGATCTTAAAGAATTTACAATGGTTGTAGTGCTAAGATCGTTCTGTGCAAGTGGGCCCAGTAATGTTAATATTTAAGCTCATGGCTTAGTAATTGGTTTTGTCACCTTTTAGGACAAAATAGTTCCGTGAAAAGCAAGATCATTCATTTGTCATGGATTTGAGTACTACATTCATCCTGATGATAATCCATGATTTATGAAGATCCGGGTTAGAATTGATCTTCAGCAACCCATGCTTGTCGTAAGAGGCGACTAGCGGGATCGGGGGTCAGACTTGCTGACTTGGTTGACACATGTCATCGGTTCCCAACTGTGTAGATTGATGTGTATGCTGTTGATGACTTGATTATCTGGTCCAGACTTGATTATTTACAGACTGCCTCCATACAGCTGTAATATTGCTAAGTGTGGCATTAAACAACAAACAAACCATGGTTTATGAGCACTGTACATCTTGATACTTGAAGTTTCTGGGTCACCTCTGTGTGGGAAATATGTATTTTTCTCAACCATTTTCTGATTCATTTGCATGGGTGTCTTCATTTTATTGGGGTGCCCACTTAATAATTACTTTGCTACACACTTTCAATGCCTCTGCATGTTCAAGTTAAACAGTTGTTAAAGTGGATGGTGTGACATGCTTTGTTCCAAGGTGATCAATTGCGCTTCCTTTATTCAAATTGGCAAAACACGCAACATTTTGGATTTGTAGGACAAAACCATGTTATCTTCCGGTAATTGCAAAGAATTATTGCATAATTTTGTCACAGTAACAAACTGTGCTTTCATTGTAGACCTTTGTTACTTTGTTAATGTGTTGATCAGACTGTGATAAATTTAGTATTTATAACACCACACTGTGCATACCCTTCAAAATTCAGTGAAACACTGTCATGTTCCTCATGTGTTTTCCTTCTCATACAGATGTCGGCAAAGGCTAATGAAGTGGCTATATTCGGTGCTGCCTCTGAGTCTTTCAGCAAGTAAGTAACCTCTTTGTAAAACTTGCTTGCTACAACCATGTGTCGGTATGGGTATTCTGTTCTTTGGATTGAAGTGAAATTCAGTTGTCGGTACATGCATTACTGCCCATACTTGTTTATGTCTGTATAATTATTGAAACATTGCACTTGATTGTCAAGAAAGTTGGTGAAACAGACATGTTTACTTACAGTGGTAACATCCATAATCAACAGAAGGGTCATAACTAATCTAACGCTTCTGTTATTTCTTTGGCCTGAAGCTGACTATATCAGTTGTGTGTTTCTCTTGAGGGTAATACGGTCTGACGTACGCCTGTTTGTAGCAGTGTCACCTGAGCTGGTAGGCGGGCAGTTTGGCAGTTACCGTGGCAGTGGGTAATATTTTTTCCAGTTCCCTCCTGGGAGGGGTGACACGGAAACTTGTTAAAGCATCATTGACCAATGAAATTAGAGCATTTTACGTGAAGGTAAGATAATGTTTCATATCTTAACAAACAGAAAGAACATCAACTGTTCCATTGCTGAAAGTCTTCAGAGGTTTGAGGAGGTTACAGAGGCAGCAAAGAAACACAACATTCCTGTGAGAGGGTAAGTAGATACACTGTAGAACAAATTTTTATGGGTGACAACTTCTTTATTTCGTGAGTGCGGCGCTTCGATACACATTCGTTATGTCATTTGTGATACAGATTCTTGTCGAAACGCCGCGACTCACGAAATTAAGAAGTCATTTAAATTGAGTCTGTTTCGATACAGATTTTGTACCCGTTTGAAGCGGTACAAGAATCTGTGTCATCAAACGCCGTCCTCACGAAATAAAGAAGTTGTCATCCATAAAAAAATTGTTGTATATTGTACGTCTCAACTTCTAAATGCCACTCAAACAAGTTAAGTATATACAGTTGGGCAGCAGCGTTGTAAAATTAAACACACTTAATTTAGTTATTACTTTCACCTTTTTAAATGGGTATTGCTATTTCTTGTGTTGACATTTCTAGATGGTGTTTTTAATTACTCATTTAGATTTTTGACAGTCAGTGTTTAAGATAGTGTTAATCTTTTTTACTGTGATGCTTTAGTAAAGATTATTGATGCTGTAGCCTGTTTGGCAGTGCACATATTTCGTTTATGGTCAGTCAGAATAAGGGGGGTCAAGGCCAAGGTCATCAGTAGCGAGCAGGCACAACACAGACCTGTTTGCAATGAATAAATGCATGTAAAGTCTTGATGGCATTTAGGTGTAAGTGTCTCGGAAGGAATGGCGAATAGTGTCACAGGTGCCATCAATGCAGTGTGTTTTGGTGTGTGTGTGTCATTTGTGTACATGATGCAATAAACCACACCAACTTAGTGACAATATATACCTTGATGCCAGTTGTTTTGCATTACAAGCCTGTGTGGCTGTGTATTGACAAAACATTAAGTTTGCAATGTGTCTGTACATCAATATGTATTGCAACATAGTGGGAGCTGATGTGCAATTATGATCTGTTGCTACTATTTTGTTATCATGGATTCAGGGGATATAGCTACTCCATTTCCATTGTTTTGTCAGTCAAAATGAAAGCCAAATGTCATTTGTGATTAAATTTCTTGGAAGATACAAATGAAGACAGATCTTGTTATATAGGTATCTGTTTTTACCAATATGCCAGAACATGGGGACAAAATATTACAATATATATTGCTTCAAAAGCATATTGCAGAATATTGGTATATAGATAATGCCATATAGTCCAAGTATTTCTGTATATCACGTTCTACTGATGGGTTAATTTTATTCAAAACAAATACATACCTCTAGGTTGTAATGTTTTCAAAGTGTTCCAATTGTTATGAAAACTTCTTTCTGTAGGTATGTTTCCTGTGTTCTGGGATGTCCGTATGAGAAAGATGTTCCTCCAGAGAAAGTGGCTGATGTAAGTTCTTAGAAGAAATATATACTACAATCATGTGTACAGGCTGTCAAATACATGTACATTACAAATAGTTTCTTTTTCCTCTTATGTTTCACTGGTATCTATATGATGAATGTGACGATCATGGCACTAGTGTGAATAATGTAAGACATCAAGTAGGTACACTTTCAGATCTTTAGTCTTGTCATATTTTGTTCTATTTCATACGTATGATTGGTTGGTGTGTAACGATTGATCGCGCTATTAAAACATTGCAGCTGACATGACCCAGGGGCAGTACGTTAATGACAAGTTAAAACAACGATACCAGAAATTATAGTGGAAATGATATGATACTATATTGATGACATCAACCAGTCTGTTAACAACTATGCATGCAAGCGGGTGCATCTATGACTTGGGGATTACATTATGCAAGGAAATCTGTTGCTACATGACATCTTATGTGCTGTATACAAGAGAGTTTCTCAGTATTGTAATACTATTACCTTGTAAAATGGTCCTGAATAGTCATCTTTAATGAAAAGACTTTTTGACACTGTGTATGTATGTATACCTAGGTTGCTAAGAGTCTGTATGACATGGGGTGCTATGAGATATCCCTTGGGGACACCATCGGTGTTGGAACACCCAGAGCCATGAAGAACTTGATATCTACAGTCAGCAGGAAAGTCCCAGTGGACAAACTAGCTGTGCATTGCCATGATACTTATGGCCAGGCTCTGGCTAACATCTTTGCTGCATTACAGGTAGGTTTGTCCTCTTGCTTGTGGTGACATGAGGGTGTCCTAATGAATTCATGTACTGTCCTATCTTGTACTTCCTCTCTATACTGCAGACACTGGTATAGTCCCTTGAACTGTCCTATCTTGTACCTCCCTCTCTATACTGCAGACATTGGTTTTATGAATTGTACTGTCCTGCCTTGAATCTCCTCTCTATACTGCTGACATTGGTATAGTCCCTTGTACTGTCCTGACTTGTACCTCCTCTCTATACTGCTGACATTGGTATAACTACCTTGAACTGTCCTGTCTTGTACCTCCTCTCTATACTGCTGACATGGGTATAATACCATGCACTGTCCTGACTTGTACCTCCTCTCTATACTGCTGACATGGGTATAATACCATGCACTGTCCTGACTTGTACCTCCTCCTCTCTATACTGCTGACATGGGTATAATACCATTGCACTGTCCTGTCTTGTACCTCCTCTCTATACTGCTGACATGGGTATAATACCATGCACTGTCCTGACTTGTACCTCCTCTCTATACTGCTGACATGGGTATAATACCATGCACTGTCCTGACTTGTACCTCCTCTCTATACTGCTGACATGGGTATAATACCATGCACTGTCCTGACTTGTACCTCCTCCTCTCTATACTTGCTGACATGGGTATAATACCATGCACTGTCCTGTCTTGTACCTCCTCTCTATACTGCTGACATGGGTATAATACCATGCACTGTCCTGACTTGTACCTCCTCTCTATACTGCTGACATGGGTATAATACCATGCACTGTCCTGACTTGTACCTCCTCTCTATACTGCTGACATGGGTATAGTACCATGTACTGTCCATGTAAACATCATTCATGTATGTGTTTTCTCATTTAGCTATTTTCATTTATAGTAGATTACAGTGAGACATAAATAATTTTCAGAAAACATTACAAAACTTTTAAATTATGCAATTGAAAGTATAATGCAATGAACAGTTGTCTCTAGATATACAAAGGAGGTTCTCTTTGTCCCAGATGGGAGTGAGTGTGGTGGACAGTTCAGTGTCTGGGCTGGGAGGCTGTCCGTACGCCAAGGGTGCCAGTGGAAATGTATCTACAGAAGATGTGGTCTACATGATGAACGGAATGGCTATCAAAACTGTAAGTATCATGTTACCCACATTTCTACATGGTTTGAGTCAGGTTTATAGAAGCTGCCTATCATAAAATACACAACACAAAGTGCTGTATTTATCACATGACGCTAATATTCCGGTCTCCCGATAGTTTTGTTAGCCATGGAGTATTTGCATACATACTGCCATTCTCATGGGATATTGATGGTTTCTTGGGTGGTGGGTGGTGGGTGGTGCGTGGTGCGTGGTGTGTGGTGCGTGGCTTGATATATTGTAGCTGGTACTCCCTGGGGTAGAGTTTATAAGGTATTTTACATCATACATATATGAAATACAAAATAAACATTCAAGTTTCACTCAGAAATACTGCAAAAACAAATTTCATAATAAATCTGTAAACATGTAAAGGCTCGTGATTGATAGTAGAAACAAAATATGGTGTGTCTAGGCATTTGAAGTTGTGTAGTACAGTCTCTTTTTAGTCAACCAGCCCTCAGTTGGCTGAAAGTATCAGTTTCAGTAGATGTTAGTGTTGTTATACAGACTACTATTTTCTAAGTTTATAAGACCAGAAAAAAATGTTCAAGAAAATTGTGAAATTTTGACTGTCAAGGTATATTTAGGCAGTGTAGGAAATAAGGCCCGTCCGACCGCCCGAGACGGGCTAGATTATTGACGGACGGTCTAAATTTACAGCTAGCCAGCCCGATGGTCTGGTAACATTTTTTCGTAAATTTGAGTAAATTCAACATATCTCTTTGTTTAGTCTGGTTAAATCCATATTGGACTGATAACAATTTGAAGTTTCCAGCCCTGATGTCTGGCTGGGTTTTTGGCTTATGTCATACACTGATTTAGGACATGACTAACACTAAAGCACTTAAAGAATGTGGTCAAATGATTACCGACAAATTCTCCTTCCCATAACTTTGGGTGAAAAAGTTGGCTGGCAACATGAAGGCCAAGTATCAAGTTCAGCTGACTGCCAATGTATTCAATCACAATTGCAGTTGATGTCTTCAAAGTGTCAGACTTGCACTGGATCATAAATTGCAAGATACAATAACAAGATGAACCAGACGAATCTTTGCTGTAATGGCAAGACATATGCATTATGCTGAGACTGGTTTGAAGGTCACTTAAAACATTTCAAGATGAATATTCAGCCTTACTTGTCAGTTTGTCTGTTGTTTATTGCCGCACTCAGCAATATTCCAGCTATATGGGGGTCTGTAAATAATCGAATCTAGACCAGGCAATCCACTGATCAACATCATGAGCATCGATCGATGCAGTGAGAATACAATGACATGTGTCAACCAAGCCTGACCACCCGATCCTGTTAGTCACCTCTTACGACAAGCATGGGTTGCTGAAGACCAATTCTAACTCGGATCTTCATGGCTCTATCAAGATGAATATGCAGGCTTACTTGTCAGTAGGGCAGTGAACAATGACATTGTCACTCATCTATTTGTATGCAACCCTGGATTTTCAACAGACATCTGGCTGCAAACCAGTTGTGAGCTGAGTCAGCATAGTGAGTTATAAAAATCATAATTCATGCAGGTTGACGATAGTTACACTTCATTTATACAGAGCCAACATATAACACTAGATATAGTTCTTTTTAGCCTGAGATAATGTATAGATTTATAAGCTTACACAAAGTTATACCCAATCAAATTGCCCATTGCATGAAAAAACCAATCTCTTGCCCATTTCTTGAAATGAGCAATGTCATGTATGAGTTTTAAAATCTTACATTACTATTCCTAAGACAAATGTATCATACAAACAAACTTGTCCATACTGTAGGGTTGTGATAAATACATGTACTTCTTGTAAGATACAAATACAAACAACTTTTCAAATATTCCATATGCAAATATTGTACTTAACAGTCATATATACACATGGAAAAAAGTATCACAACACCTAATACTTTTTTCTCTCAATATCTTAAGAATTGACATTTGACAGCATTATGAAAATAAATGAAAACAAAACTTACGTGTCTCAAGTGCAACAAATCACGATCCACATGCTGCAGGTAACAAGTGAGGAACATATGAAACACTTACACTCCTTGTGTCATGAAAATACAGTTTCAATTATCATTCACTCTTGTTAGAAAACTTAGCTATAACGCTTACTTATTGTCTTAAACCACTCTATGGGACCCCCTCAAGAGATGGCAAGTTATAGGTATGGTTAATGCCAGGTTGTCCATGAGACAAATTGCCATGTAATTAGGGCACCACCCTTCAACAATCAGTCGATTATTGAGGAAATATCACCAAACAAACAATGTAAAGGATCTGCATTGTTCAGGCAGACCACGCAAGACATCAGCTAGACAAGTTGCAGCTTGTCACAGTGAGAGGAAATCTGAATGGACAAAGATACTAAGAGGAAATCTTTTGACAATCATCCCCTATTAACAAGGCCAATCTTTATGGTTGGCAACGCCAGGCCACATTGGGCACGTGCAGTGATTGATTTCCTGCATCAAGAAGCCATTACCACCCTTCTATGGTCAGCCAGAAGTCATTACCACCCTTCTATCGCCAGCCAGAAGGCATTACCACCATTCTATGGTCAACCAGAAGCCATTACCACCCTTCTATGGCCAGCCAGAAGCCCTGATTTGAACCCTGTCGAGCATGTTTTGAACATTCTAGGGTGTAAGGTTTGTCAGACTGAGAGAGATCCACCAGTACAGAATATTCATGAATTAGAGCTAACATTGCACCAAGAATGGAACAGGTTGCCCCAACATTGGATTCAGTGTCTTGTGCACTCACTATCTTGAGGACAAGGACGAGGGTTCAAAACGTCACCCAGGTGGGCGGAGGTTACACAAGATACTGACTGTGTCTTCTGTTTCTGAAGCTGACCTTATTTGTGGATTGGGTGTATGAATAAGGACCATGCATCGTGGAACCTATTTGGGATGACCATACTTTTATTGACACATTATGTTATGTTAATTTCAGTTTTATTACAGGACCCATATTTAATCAAATTATACCATTCAGATTCTTTATTGTTGGCTTTTGTGTTAATGAAAAGTCATTTTAGCACTTTGGCTCCAAAATAATTTCCTGTGAAGATACACATGACATATAATCTTTGATTAAATATTGGTCCTGTCATAAAACTTGGGTGTTGTGATACTTTCTTCCATCTGTATATTACGTAATATTTGCCTAATTGGAATTGATTTCTCAGCTCTGATTATATGTTTGCCCTGCCTATTATGTGTTAAGTACTCTGAGCAGAGCTCTGCACAGCCTATCATCTATTGAAAAGGAAACTTGCTCTTTAAAAATGGATTACCAAAGGCAACCCTTGCCAGACACCAGATTGAGTTCATTCAGTATGCAGGACTTCACGCTGGAATTTATCACCAGAAGTGCTCAGCATTCATGGAATTGTCTCAGGTACAAAGTGTGTGCGGTGGTCAGGGATATCTGTCATTGCAGGAGCAACTGCTTTTCAAATCGCGGTACTGTCTGAAAGCTGGTCTTTGCTGCAACCTTGCCTACCCGAGCAACAAATCCTATGGCAATTTTGGCCACTAAACTGTTTTGGATGTTGATGGATTAAGCTAATTTATGTCATACAACAGTGCCACAAATCCATAATCTGAATAAAGGAATCTTACAAATATGTGATATCTGCTTGCTTTTTTATTACATGATGTCTCATTCTCAGTGGATTTGACTCAGTCTATGTCTTTGTGTATTAGTGAATTAAAATATTTTATTATTCATAAAAGTTGTTTGTTTTATGAAATAGAGAAGTTTTCATTTGCACATTTCATGAAAATGGCTTGAAGTCTGTTGTTTTATTAACACATATATATACACATGTATACTGCTTAAAAGAACTAAAAGAACATCTGATTCTTCCATATTTCATAGTTAATGTGATTTGTAATGACTAACTACAGCAATATGAAACAATTGGTAGTATAATACAGCAAGTCAGGAATGGCTGTTCCACTATTTCTATATCACTCCCTCAGGGACATGAATTCATGTTTGTTTGTTTCTTTTCAGGGGGTCAACATTCACAAGTTAATTGAAGCTGGGAGTTTTATCTCCAATGCTCTCGGTCGGAAGTCAGGATCCAAAGTATCACAAGCGACAAAGTCATGTCTATAGCATATTGTATGGTTAAATTTATCATCAAGTGGGTTGTATAGAGGATGCTAAACAGATGAGTGGGGAATATTTCCTTGGTTGATTAAATACATGATTATTTAAAAAAATCTTTGCTGATTGTGATAATACTGTAAGGTCAGTATGATACCACAACTGATGTTACGTTGAAGGATCCGTGTAAAAATATTTAAACAGACGCTTTATTGTTCTCTGACTGATCAAACTGGCACTGAGGCCTATACTCCGCACCAATATTCTTTATAAGAATATTTGAACTTTACAACATTTGGTAGATGTTTTCTTCTGTACAACATCATAATGGATTAGTTTCCACTCTTGTAAAGATGTTCTGTAAAAGTCATGGAACTGAGTTAGAGTGTATCATGCTTTTCTAGATCTACAATATGTTTTCACATATATATTGATTTATTTTGATGATAGTACATAACTGTAGAATATTGACTACATTGAAGATTTAAGTCACTTATATTGACATACTAATGTGATGGTTCTGTCATGCTTGATCATGTTTCAAGACCATCATGTTGTTTAATGTTTTTATTAACAGACTTTTGTGTGAAAACTTTGTATTAAACAAAGTGAAATCAAAGAATTATGTTTTCTTCTTCAAAAAGGTTATCTGAGTATGTTGCCAAGTGTGCAGGTTGTCCGTTGTAACCTACTGTTTTGCAGTTTTACCCTTTAAGAAGAATTACCTTCTATTTATATATTTTGGTCGGTCTTCATTTTGTGCTAGAGTTGCTGAAATCTGTAAACCAGTTTAAAATGTTCAAGCACAACATTTCTTCCTTTCTACTGAGAAGTATATAATTATTTATTTAGGATGACTGTATTATTGACCACATGCTAATAATGGCATTTGCTGTACAGCTGACATCCCCCCTGATGAAAGTGAACAATGAGAAATACCTTCATAGGTGAGATTTGGTGGGTTTCCTGTTTAACGCCGAACTCAGCAATATTCCAGCTGTATGGCAGCGGTCTGTAACTGATCGAGTCTGGACCAGACAATCCAGTGATCAATATCATGAGCATCGTTCTGCACAAATGGGATACGATGACATTTGTCAACCAAGTTAACCAGCCTTACCACCCTATCCCGTTAATCGCTTACGACAAGCATGGATTACTGAAGACCAATTCTAACCCGAATCTTCACGGGTATAGTAGGTGGGAATCACTTTTAGAATAAAACTTATGTTTGTTAGATGCTACATTTTGTTTACACTATAATGGCCTGATTTTGGGTATTGTATGATGTGCTAATTATAGGTACATGTATTTTGCATTTCAAAGTATTTATTGATACTGTTGTCTTTATTGCAGAAATGTAATAAATTGTGATAATGATTTAAACATTTTCTTTGTTTTTGTTTTTGAATTGTTGCTATAGCTGTTAAAATATTGACGGACTAATTCCAACAAAAACCTTCCATGTCATGTGACTCTTGTAATCAGAATACATGAGAGTTTTGTTAATAACTGACTGACTGAGTTTGGTTTTACGCCGCTTTTAGCAATATTCCAGCAACATCACGGCAGGGGACACCAGAAATGGGCTTCACACATTGTGCCCATGTGGGGATTCGAACCTGGGTCTTCGGCGTGACGAGCCAACGCTTTAACCATTAGGCTACCCCACCACCCCGTTTTGTTAATAAGAGACGGGGGTTTCAGTATACAGTTCAGTACAATCTATGATAACACATGTTGTGGGGTATCTGGACTTGAATGATCTTGGCATGTTCTGTCGCACAGTGTCTTGTAAAGGCCAGTAGATAAGGAAGTTCAGGCCATGGTACATCTTCTCAATCCATGAATTGAAAATGGTGCTAACTGTTGAAGCAGAAACTTTAAACCGCTTTGCCAAGTCTAAAACAAGAAGTCCTAAGCAAAGTCTCATAAATACCATGAAAAATTCATCTTTTAAGCTGAGTTTGTGTGGTCTGCCAAGCTTACTAGTTGAACCATCATCTATCAGTTCATCAAAAAGTAAGTTGTATGCACTTTTATCCGGTAGACCAGTGAAAAAACATCATTTCTTCATCTGTCAAATCATGAACAGTGAGCCAAGGCCTGTCACTGTCATCTGTAGTTGTAAAGGCGAATGCACTTTCCTCTGTCTGTGTGCCTGTTGATACATGGGATACAAAACTGCTGCATGGGATGTCGATTTGTGTGCTGGCGTCTCTTACACATTGTGAAACTCCTACCTCCTGATGTTTGAAGTTAGTCAGGGTGCTGGGTTCAACCCAGCCTCCATAGTCATGCATCAGTACCGATATATCAAGGCGTGATAATGAGGGAGGAGAGCTGAGACCAACAGCATCTGTCTGCAGGGCTGTGCCATGTTCCTCTTGCTGTTCTCTCTGATGTGCATCTAAGGTCAAAATGTCTGTGTCCTGCAGCTGGAAATCAAATTGGTATATAATCAATGTTAAAATTTTATATATGTGACACATCATGCACATGAAAAGAAAATTATCAATTTCATTTTTTAAAAAACTAGTTAGGCCAGTCAAAATCTTTAAAAAAACCAAGTGTTTGCCACTGATATGGCAATGTCCCCCGCCGCTAAAGAATGGAATATCTATATTTACTACTTTTTATTTTTTGGTCACATACAAGATGCCTGATATGACTGGTGTCTGTATAATCACCCAATGTAGGCTGTCAACATAATTGAAAACATTGGGTGCAATGTTTTATGAGATATCGCGTTTACGTAAGTTTGAAAAGTGGTCAAAGTGTTGTGGTGACCTTGAAGATAAGGTCAAGGTCACCCAAATAAAATGGTGTCTGTGTAATCCCCCAACATACGCTGTCACCAAATTTGAAGACATTGGGTACAACAGTCCATGAGATATCGCATTAACAAGAGTTTATAGTGTGCAAAGTGTTGTGGTGACCCTGAAGATAAGGTCAAGCTCACCCAAATCAACTGGTGTCTGCGTAATCCCCCAATGTAGGCTGTCACCAAATCTGAAGACACTGGGTACAACATTCCATGAGATATCGCGTTAACAAGAGTTTGAAAAGTGGTCAAAGTGTCATGGTGACCTTTGAAATGAGGTCAAGGTCACCCCAATCGCCTTGTGTCTGTGTAATCCCCCAATGTAGGCTGTCACCAAATTTGAAGATACTGGATACAACAGTGCATGCAATGTCACGTTAACAAGCATTTAAAAAGTGTTCAAAGTGTCTTGGTGACCTTGAAGATAAGGTCAAGGTCACCCAAATCGACTGGTGTCTAGGTAATCCCCTAGTGTAGGCTGTCACCAAATTTGAAGACATTGTGTACAACAGTTCATGAGATATCGCGTTAACAAGAGTTTGAAAAGTGGTCAGTGTCATGGTGACCTTGAAAATGAGGTCAAGGTCACCCCAGGTCACTGTCACCAAAACAGTCGCCTTGTGTCTGTGTAATCCCCAATGTAGGCTGTCACCAAATTTGAAGACACTGGATACAACAGTTCATGCAGATATCACGTTAACAAGAGTTTAAAAGTGGTCAAAGTGTCTTGGTGACCTTGAAGATAAGGTCAAGGTCACCCAAATCGACTGGTGTCTGTGTAATCCCCTAGTGTAGGCTGTCACTGTCACCAAATTTGAAGACATTGTGTACAATAGTTCATGAGATATCTCGTTAACAAGAGTTTGAAAAAGTGGTCAGTGTCGTGGTGACCTTGAAAATAAGGTCAAGGTCACCCAAATCGCCATGTGTCTGTGTAATCCCCCAATGTAGGCTGTCACCAAATTTGAAGATACTGGATACAACAGTGCATGCAATGTCACGTTAACAAGCATTTAAAAAGTGTTCAAAGTGTCTTGGTGACCTTGAAGATCAGGTCAAGGTCACCCAAATCGACTGGTGTCTGGGTAATCCCCTAGTGTAGGCTGTCACCAAATTTGAAGACATTGGGTACAACAGTTCATGAGATATCTCGTTAACAAGAGTTTGAAAAGTGGTCAGTGTCGTGGTGACCTTGAAAATAAGGCCAAGGTCACCCAAATCGACTGGTGTCTGCGTAATCCCCCAATGTAGGCTGTCACCAAATCTTAAAACGCTGGGTACAACATTCCATGAGATATCGCGTTAACAAGAGTTTGAAAAGTGGTCAAAGTGTCATGGTGACCGTTAAAATGAGGTCAAGGTCACCCCAATCGCCTTGTGTCTGTGTAATCCCCCAATGTAGGCTGTCACCAAATTTGAAGATACTGGATACAACAGTGCATGCAATGTCACGTTAACAAGCATTTAAAAAGTGTTCAAAGTGTCTTGGTGACCTTGAAGATAAGGTCAAAGTCACCCAAATCGACTGCTGTCTAGGTAATCCCCTAGTGTAGGCTGTCACCAAATTTGAAGACATTGTGTACAATAGTTCATGAGATATCTCGTTAACAAGAGTTTGAAAAGTGGTCAGTGTCCTGGTGACCTTGAAAATAAGGCCAAGGTCACCCAAATCGCCATGTGTCTGTGTAATCCCCAAATGTAGGCTGTCACCAAATTTGAATATACTGGATACAACAGTGCATGCAATGTCACGTTAACAAGCATTTAAAAAGTGTTCAAAGTGTCTTGGTGACCTTGAAGATCAGGTCAAGGTCACCCAAATCGACTGGTGTCTGGGTAATCCCCTAGTGTAGGCTGTCACCAAATTTGAAGACATTGGGTACAACAGTTCATGAGATATCTCGTTAACAAGAGTTTGAAAAGTGGTCAGTGTCATGGTGACCTTGAAAATAAGGCCAAGGTCACCCAAATCGACTGGTGTCTGTGTAATCCCCAATGTAGGCTGTCACCAAATCTTAAAACGCTGCAACCGGTTACAAGCATTCAAAGTTGAGATATCGCGTTAACAAGAGTTTGAAAAGATGGTTAACAAAGAAAAGTGGTCAGTGTCATGGTGACCGTTAAAAAATAAGGCCAAGGTCACCCAAATCGCCATGTGTCTGTGTAATCCCCCAATGTAGGCTGTCACCAAATTTGAATATACTGGATACAACAGTGCATGCAATGTCACGTTAACAAGCATTTAAAAAGTGTTCAAAGTGTCTTGGTGACCTTGAAGATCAGGTCAAGGTCACCCAAATCGACTACTGTCTAGGTAATCCCCTAGTGTAGGCTGTCACCAAATGTGAAGACATTGTGTACAATAGTTCATGAGATATCTCGTTAACAAGATTTTGAAAAGTGGTCAGTGTCGTGGTGACCTTGAAAATAAGGCCAAGGTCACCCAAATCGACTGGTGTCTGCGTAATCCCCCGACGTAGGCTGTAACCAAATTTGAAGACATTGCGTACTACAGTTCATGAGATATTGCGTTTACAAGAATCGGGACGTACGTACGGACGCCGCTAAATACATATAGTCCCCCGTTCCGCGTTGCGGCCGGGGACAATAACTCAACCCATCACCTCACTTACCACATATTTGGATTCATTGAATCTTAATTTAAAAAAACCCGTTACGGCTATTAAAATCTACAATTCAACTTCGTATTTTAGGAAGGACTAGGAATGGTTTGTCATGTGGTGTGTTAGCTTTAACCAGAGACTATATAATATAATTATATGGTCTCTGCTTTAACTTTATAGTCAAATCGATATTATAATCAGCATGATCACTGTGAATATTATTTATGTTTGGTATCTAATAACATTTTGTGTATTGATAGAATTTTCATTGTAAAAGTGAACAGCTTTCATAAACGTAATTTTAAACTTACCTTGGTAGTTTTGAAGACTTTGTGTGCAAATATAGATGGCAGGTTTACTTCATTCCCTCCCTCAAAATGTTGCGAACACACCCGCGTCTATGACGTTATGCTGAAGTTCTTCCGACTGATTCTTGACAACCAAATACTTCTCAGCTTCCGACGTTTTGATGATTTATCGGACGGGAAACGATGTAAACTTACAGTCCTGCCATTAACTACCTTTCCACTGTAATTGTGACAGCCAACAACACAACAATACGTCTTTCCAGACATACTGCCAAATGCCAGCCACAGTAAAGTGGCGCGCCCAACGCTCTGGAAGTGCCTTCCGCTGTGGAGC